GAGAGAGAGAGAGAGAGAGAGAGAGAGAGAGAGAGAGAGAGAGAGAGAGAGAGAGAGAGAGAGAGAAAATCCGACACATACCTGTCTAGGTGAAGGACCTTTTTACCGATTCTACTTGCAGCCGCCGCGACAATAGACTCCGTCATACCTATGGAATTTCATAAGTTGTCACGAATAATTTTGCAAACAGATATCAAAATAAATAAGACGTATATTGCAAAAATCAATACCTGTCCCTACGACGACGACATCATATTCATTTGGCAGATAGTCCTCCATGGCTTCCAGCTGTAAATTGCAATAGAACGTAGGATTGCGAACACAGATTGTTTTGCTATTTCGGTGAAATGACTAAGAAATCAATTCATTTCTAATTAATTCCGTGAATTATATTGGGTGAGGGGGCCACTCCCGGTCGTTTCGCTTTCGCTTCGTACTTTCACTGTTTCGCGACAGTCTCAGCCTCGGTACTCAAGTTTGACAGAACAGGACGCTGCAAGCCTGAACTTTAACCGAACTCAACGCTGATTCGTCGGGATTTAAGTCTCGAAAGACCAACGTAGCCAGATATCGCATCTACCAATATTTTGCCGCCGAAGAAATACGTGGATTAAGGTATTCCTATGTTAACTTCGATCACACCTCGACATTACCGCCGTGATCAAATCGCGTGGCCGGTCATAGAACTAACAATATGAAATTCGTATGAAACTTTCATCAGATATTTCATTCTGTTTTATTAGATATTTCATCCCTTTCGTATTTCTTATATAAAAGAATAGTACATTAAAGAAACGAAATATCCAATGAAAAAAAGGATGTTAACGAATTGAAAAATATAACTATAATATGTAAAATTTGTAAGAAAAATACTTTATTTTCTTTATTTTCGAAAGAATAGTAGCAAATTTTATATTTTATAGCGTACTACTATTTTTATTTACGTACAGATGTGCAATAATCATCATTATTGAACATTGTCTTTTTATTGTTTTATTGAAAATATATAAACAGGAATCATTGTACATCAATTTCGATTTATAAACAGACTTCTCATTCTGAATTTATTTTATATTAAACTGTACTTGTAAAGTTAAAAATCTTATTTACAATTATAATTACAATGATATAACGCACGATTGTCTAAATCATTGAATAATTCACATTTTACACAGTTCATAAACTGCAATTCAGAACTGCATACAATTGCGTTTACACGTGTTTCATTAGAAACGATTTTATAATACTTAAGATACAAATCATTTGTACTGAAAAGTCCTTATTTTATGATTTTTAAAAGATTGTATTTCTTCTCATTCATTTTAGCATTTGTAAAATGAACTTGAAGAAAATAAAAAATATATATAATATATAATATAATATATATAATATATAAAATATAATATATAATATATAAAAATATATATAATATATAAAAATATATATAATTATATAATACAATATAAAATATTACATAATAGAAAATGAATATTATTAAAACAATTATTATGTTTATCTATCAATATAATGAGAAATAAACTTTTAAGGACAAATTTAAATAAAATATTAATACAATTGACGCACAAAGAGAATATTATAATAATAAAATAATAAAAAGAATTTGTTCCTTTGAAATACATCCTTATTATACCTTGTTATATTAAGTCTGAAATATTTTCGAAACTATTGGTTACATGGAAAATTTTTTTAAACACATGATTGATCATCCGTAGTCGACATAATCACATGTACATTAAATAGCACGAATAAATTAGACTCTATACGGATATTACTCCATATAATATCTTAATAAAATATTTCCTAAATTACTGATTTTTTCCTAAAAATGGTTCGTTACTTTTTTATACTGAACTTTTAGAAGCCATACCATATAACATATAATAATTTTAAAAACATTTCAGCTTTCAATCTTAAATCATTTACTTGATATAACATAAATAAAATATAAATATAATAAATATAATAAATATAATAAATACAAAATAATAAATAATAAGCTCAGTAAGACTTTAATTTTATCTAAATTTTTTTAAAACTGTTAAAACAGCATTATAGAGAAGCATTCTGGCATCTCTACCCCACATATAATCAACATGATTGAATTTTAAATATTCAATCTTTCTTATTTCTGTAACATTTGGCAATCTATCAGTAAGCTTTGTTATATCTGTAGGATCAGTAAGAAAATCATTTTCACTGTAAAATATTGCAATTGGTGTTTTTATTTTTTCAAGATCGTATTTTGGCGGTTGTGTTGATCCATAAATTTTCAGATTTTTTGTTGGTCCATAATCAAATTTGCGAAATGAACCTTTAAAAAAAAATTCAATGAGAATCAAGAAGTAAGTATAGTTAGTTAATATGCGTAAAAATTTTTTGTATGAAATCTTTCTTATGAAAACTTATTAGTTTAATTAATATAATTGAGATAAATAAAAGCATTAAATTGTTTATTAAATAATTACTTGATAGCACATTTTGGCCATAATGAATAATCTGTTTTGCAGAAGAACCAGCTGGAAAATGTCCCAAAATTAATGGTAGCATAGATTTGTCTAACTGATCACTACCCAATCCAGCAATTAGTGAAAACCAGCATACACAAAATCCTTTGGTGAAACTACCTGGAGCATTTCGAATTAATGTACCCAAAGCTCGCGCTTGCAACCTATTGCGGGGGAACCACTGACGTACATTGCAATAAGAGGATCCCCACTGAAACATTATAACAAGAGCATATCTCTTAGAAGAGTATAGCAGATACCCTCTCTTGATCGGAGGTGAATTTATATATATATATATATAAGTATATTCTACATTATATTTATTTTACCATTATATATATATAAGTTATATATATATAAGTATATTCTACATTATATTTATTTTACCATTATATTAAAAAAATCTTTAACATACATATTCTTAATACAATTAAATTTGTTTTTAATAAGAACTAAATCTATCTACCAACATAAATTATACACATACAAATAATATTAATTTTTGAATTATTCATTAAATATTTACTAAATGTTAATTTAACATCAGTAAACAAATATTGTTTTTTACTGATATCTGATATGTAATATTTGCAATTAAACCACCTCTGATCACAATAAAGTTATTTCATATATTTAAAAACATACCTCCAACAATCCATGAAAATGAACAACAAATTTTATTAAAGGACTTCTATGATTTGAGAGAAATGCTATTGGTGCTAAACTGACCATTCCTTTGATTTTTTGATTATATTCAGATTTTTCACTAGCCATTACATAAAATGCAGTTGTGCCTTGACTATAACCCACATAATAGAGTTCTGCATGTCCAGTATATTCTAAAATATAATCTATTGTTGCTGGTAAATCATAATAACCAACTTCATGCCAGCTAAAAGATTAATGAAATTATTCATTGTACAATTAATTTTTCACATATAGCATATAGTATATAGTATCTGCTTAGTTTTTTCTTTTCTTTTATTTTTCTCTTTCAATTTATTTCATTCAGGTTGTGCTTGAAATAGACTAATGAGTCAAGTGATCAAAGATCCTTCTGTGAAAGCATGAATATAATGAACATCATGAATGCATGAATATAATGAACATCATTGACCAAAATAAAAAATACAAACATTAAGCACACTCAATTCTGTTAATTTATAACTATTTCTATTTAAAATAAATATTTGTTCTATTCTATTTAATAATAGAACAAAATTTTATTTTTTCATCTAATTTAGTTTATTAATTAAAATTACCTGAAATCCCAAAATTCCTTGTCTTTAGTTGTATACTGTTTATGTTTTATAGAATATGCATTTCCTCTTGCATTTCCTAGCCAAACATCATAATTATTGTCGCATAAAAGATATGCTAAAGCCTTTTTAGGGCCCAATAACACCCAATCAGCTGAACTTGATAGAAGTCCATGATGAATGAGAACTGGTACTTTTTCTTTTGATGTGACTTCATGGCTTTCATTCTAAATGGGACATAGGTTGTAATATTGACACAAATTTTGTTATCATAATTTAATATAATTTTTAACTTTTTCACTACTTCAATAATAAAAAAAAATTGATAAAATATTTATATCATATTCTGTGTATTAATATTTATTTATTAACAAATATCAATAAATATTAAAACATTATTGATATTTATTTATAAAATACATATAAACAGTAGAGACCATCAGTAGGAAAAGAGTTAAATTATTAATCTCGAAATGAATTAATTTCTTTATAGTAGCTTCATATTTCTAACTTATCATAGTATTACAATATCTCTATTGTTCTTTTTTATTACTTACAACTTGTACATTATTCTCATTTATGTTGCAATCAGAATTTTGACAAGATTTTGATAGTACTCTATGTACCTCAAGGCAATATCCATCTTCTGTCCAAATGTCATGTGTTTCTGATTTATAACCATGGAGTACAATTAATTCTGGCTGAAAAACACATTTTTACTGTTACTTTATTTTTCATTATATAATAATACATAATATATAATAATTACATAATATGTAATAGTAAAATATTGAATTATATTAATTAATTAATAATTAATTAAGGCATTTCTTAATTAATTATTAATTAATTAAAAAATGACTGACACGAAAATAAAAATAATACGTATATTTCTTTCTGATATAATAAAAATATAATTAATGTTTCAAAAAAATATTATACATTTTATATATAAAATAAATTTTACATGGAATTTTGCAATTTATTTGCAAAACAAAAACAAATAATGAGATGAATAAAATAAAAATATTGATGAACTGTTTTATAAATTTGTAAATAAACTTAAAACATTACATTATATTATAGCGTACTATTAACAACTGACGAGAAAAAGTTACATAAAGAAAAAAGAGAAAGAAACTTACCGTTGTCATATGAATCTGATCCTGATTGGTTATTGCGTTCATTATATGAACAGCTGATAAAAGGAACTAAACTTTTTAATAAAGAAAGCTAGTTAAATTTCACCAATTATTTCTTTCTCTCTTCTTACTATTTCTCTTTATTTATAATTTTATAATTTATTTATAATTTTCCAAACGATCAAATGAGAAATTTAAATTTCACTGAAGTTTGAATACGTCTTTTTTGCAAATGTCGAAAGATTGAGAAATATCAAAATAATTTGCGCGCTTTAACTTTCCGAGATATAGCTATGAAGAACTCGAGCAAACACGTTCACAACGTTGTGTTGAACTATCGTACTTTGTGTCATTAGTGTCATATGCATGCATAAGGTGACGGCGAAAACACTTGCGCAGGTGTACCAATTCAATAAATTTCTCGTATGTTGTTATTTATTTATTATTTATTTATCGTAAACAAAAGTAATGATAATACTCTTTGCATGTACATACCGATTTAATAAGTTTCTCATATGTTATTATTTATTTATTATTTATTTATCGTAAGCAAAAATAAAATCAGTAAAAATGTTGATATACAAAAATACATTACATTATTTACAACTTGAAAATTAGCAGTAAATAAGCTTTTAAAAAATTATTAACTGTTTTTCATAATTTAGTAGATTTCGATGCTCTAACCGAAAATATTTCACCTTTAAGAATTTATTGGTTTAAAAGTAAGAGTATTTTTTTATTATTTTAGTGTTATTTTTTGTGTTACCGATACAGAATATAATTTTTGTATTACATATTTTATTTTACAGACTGTGTTTTGATTCCAGTTTCGATCATAGAATAATCATATTAAAAATATTTTGGCCCGTAATTTTTGAACCACTAATATCCAATCACATTGCGCGCAGCAGTCAGTATGGCGTCATATTTAATACGCTAAAAACACTTAACTTTGTAGCTGTATAATTTTTAAACCAGTGAATTTCTGAAACTGAAACTTACATTTTTGATTTCAACTTGTCAAAATCTATCAGATTATTAAAAGAATTCACAATTTTTGCTCCTCTGAAGTGAAGTTGTACTTTTTAAAATTATTTCTGACAAATAAAAAATTCGAAAATATAAATGTTGAAATTCGTTTTGGAATTACAAGTCTTAGTCTGACGCATATATTTTTGAAAATATTAGTTTTGAATTTTAAAAACTTCCAGTTTAAACATTATTTTTGTTTCAAAAGTTACACCAAGAATTTAAATCATAGTGTTGAATTTGTAAATCAGGTTAGGTTATATTTTGAACAAGTTAAACCATGTTGGATTAGATTTGAAAACTTTCCTAGACTTAATATGTGCATGCTAATTTCAGTAGTTGCGAATTCTATTTTTCGAGTACTAAAAGCTGAGTATCAAGAAATACACATAGATCACATATATCAGCCAAAAACTTTTTTCATGCCTAGGACGAAATTTAGCTTAAAATGAAAATATATTATTCCTGCATTTGCTGAATTTAATACTGACAAGTTTATATTAATGTACTATTTTTACAATTTCATATTAAAAGGTTTATTGAATTTTGAAATTTAAGTCTTTCCTTTCCTCGTTTCCTTCCCTCACTTTTGTCAGTAAATTATTTAAAAACTTTTACTTTTACTTTTTATCATGTTAAAACAAATTTTTATTTATAATATAATCACATATATAATAAAACTAAAATGTATGGATAACCATTTGTGTCTAACATTACTTACGCAACTATAATATTTTTAATTAAACGTATTACATAACTGTCTTTCACTAATATATTTGTTATATTTAGTTCATTCGTTATATTTATTCGTTGAGTAATGTGTTTACATTTAACAAAAAATCGACAGATAATACCGATTTGATAGATCGAGAATTACAAAGAAGTCGAATATCGTGAAATCGATCATTTCGATTAATCGATCATTCGGACGGTGGTAGTAAAAGAGCAGTGTGTAGTGGTTCACAAAAGTATTGTATATTTTTGAACAAAGGACAAATTAAAACGAGATTATAGTGGAGATGGTTGGTTGTGTATGATTCGAGCGAGGAAACTAAGTAAAAACTTCAGACTCCCTCTTTCTCGTAGAACGATGTTGACCATACGGTGACGAGGCCAGCCAGATCGGCGGAAAACTACGTCATCAGTGACGGATTCCCCCGAAACTGGGACAAAGTGCAGTGTACTCTGGCATTGCGCTTTACCGGAATCTCTCTCACTCCATGTCCTAGTACCCTCCCCCTCTTTCTCTCTTTCTCTCTCTTTCTCTTACTCTCAGGATTGACCAATCGTCTCGTCATCCTCGAATCCTCGATCGAAACTGACAGGTAAACATCGAGATTTTCGGAAAGTTGGTCGGATTATTTATGCATTTATCGCATATTTTTTTATTTCTTAGTATTTCTTACTATTTGTCGTTTCATTGTTTATTATTAGTAGTGTATTACCAGTATGGACGTTGTGTTATTGAATTAAATTGAAACTGAAATTGAACACTGTATGTATCTTTATAAAAGTTTTCAACGTTACATGCGTAACGTTTCTGCGAACTTGTGCGTAACGCATTGAAAATTTAAGAATTCATATTGCCGAAGACAAGGTAAATTGAAGCACATTTGTTCAATTTATTCTAGGTAATCTACGACGAATGGTGCAGATTCAACAATACAGTGTCCGGAGGGTTCAGTATCATGTCAGATGGGGTTGATGCTGGCGGCGGGGAAAACGAGGTAGATTCTCATTCCTGTTCGCACGCCGACGTTGGAGAGTCCTCAAATCCAAGAGACGAGGAGAACTTGGATCCAGATAATGAAGCTGCCTTAAATACTAATTATGATAGTGGTGATGGTGCTGTGCCAGCTTTTAGGTCTGTCATCTTCATGTAATTAATTCTTTGTATTTAAAGAAATTCCAATAAACGTTTAGATAATCGAGGTGTTAAATAGCGTATCAAAGGATCCATAACGTGTGGACAGGTGTGAAAGGTGTGAAAACTATGAAACTATAAATAAGACAGCATTCTGCGCTCATCAGGATCAATGTTTGGCTAGTGCAGAGCCAGGAGAAAGCACCGAGAACATAGAAGCTACTGAAAATGATGGAGATGGAGAAGAAACGCATTCTGGAATTCGTTCTCATAGGAAAATGTTTGAATGTGATGTTTGCAATATGCAATTTTCTAATGGAGCTAACATGAGACGGCACAAGGTATAAATAAAATAAATTCATTTCTACTTTAGATTACCAAGATTTATAGGCTAAATGATTTTAATACATGAAGTACTAAATCTCATTTACAGATGAGACACACTGGTGTGAAACCATACGAATGTCGTGTATGCCAGAAAAGATTTTTTCGCAAGGATCACTTGGCAGAGCATTTTACGACACATTCTAAAACTTTGCCATATCATTGTCCAATTTGCAACCGAGGTTTCCAGAGACAAATTGCTATGAGAGCTCATTTTCAAAATGAACACGTTGGCCAACATGATATGGTCAAATCTTGTCCTTTGTGCAATTATCGTGCAGCAACTATGAAGTGCCTCAGGTTACATTTTTTTAATAGGTCGGTAGTTATTTTAGTATAATATTGTTTATTTTATTATTAAGCACTTATTTGTTCTTTATTATTTTAGACATGGGATCGATCTAGATAATCCAGGACCAAACAGTTCGAGTTCATTGATGAATAGTTGTACTCCAGGCGAAGCTATGCCTTCTGCTCCTCTTTCAGATAGTGGAGACAGCACTGGAAATCGTTCTGCGGATAATGCAACACCGCCAATGCATTTTCTAACACCTCATATAGAAATATCAATACCTTATCCAGAGCAAACCGCAAATCAACGAAATCCAAGTCCTGCTCCTTTAAACGGAGATAGCCCAAATAGTCCTCAAAGCGCAGATAGTAATAGTAATGCTCCAAGTAGTAGTCACCATCAGTTACCAATTAACAGTAGTGGTATTCACAGGTATAGAAAAAATTTAAAACTATTTTTTTATATGTTATTTAAGTTTAATTTTAAATTTTCTAATTAAGGAATCTTGGTGGAAGTGAAGAGGCGATCACACCTTCTATTTCATTAATTCCTATTAAGCAAGAACCAAACAGTAATGGAGCGGAAGAAAACGGAGCAACATCCAGCAATCTTCCATTACCATCTTTGATAAAAGTTTCTCCATTAAAATCCCTTCTTCGAGACGATTTACGACGTAAACTTTCATCTGGCTCAGGAAATAATAACAATAACAACAATAATAACAATGGTAAATTTATTGTCTTATTCAAATTTTTTTTATTATTAATTCGTCTTAAAACAACTTAAGGTTTTCAAATATAAATTATGTTTAATTATGATATTTTATTGAAAATATTTATTTTAGCTGTTTTTTGATACTATTTTATATTCTAAAATATATGAAAAATAATTAGGAATATGAAAATCATAAAATTTTTATTATTTTTGTATTTCGATTACGGAATTGATATACATGCAGAAATTGCATGTATATTATTTAAAACAACAATTTCTATATAATTTGTGTAAATACAGACACGTTGATTTTGTAATAGGTAATAATAGTTCAAATTCAAATCCCCACTCAAGAGGAGAACCTCCTAGTTCGACAAGACCCGATCAACGAAGTAGTGGACTTCAATGCGCTCACTGTAGAATTACCTTCCCTGATCAAACATTATATTTTCTTCATAAAGGTTGTCATAGTGAAAGCAATCCTTGGAAATGCAATATTTGCGGAGAACAATGTTGCAACTTATATCAATTCAATTCGCATTTATTAAGCAAAAGTCATCAGTAATTATTAAAAGAATAATGTTCTTTTAAGGACTTCTAGAATCTCGTTTATTTAAATTGGATAATATAAATTATTTTGCTGTAATTTATATAAGCAAAATTATAATCTTGAATCAAAAAGAATTGTTTTGTGTTATAAAACGTAAATTAAATTGACATATATGTTGCACTTTCCTAACTAATATTTTTATTTATTTTAATGTCTACACGGGATTTTAAATAAAAAAGATTCAGTACTTCAAAGATAAATCGTATTCATCAAATAGAAAAATTTTAATCAACATAGATCGAAAAATTTGTTTATTTTCAAAGTATTATAAGCAATTTTCTGTTCTAGTTATAGTACTCGATTATATATACTTGCTTCATTATATATAAACAATTGATTATCTTACTATTTTTTCTACTAATGTTTATAGAAGATTATGTGTCCCTTTTCTGTTTCACATCTTCGGAATGGGAGAATTTTGAACTTCCATATCAAATTTTCCCAAATTTCGATGTCATATTTTAAATAGACCGGTCTCACAAAGTTGTTCATGAAGTTTTGTAAACAATGCACGAGATGATATTTTTCGGTTCGGATATTTTTCCACATAAAATTGTTTACAAAATTTTATTAACGTCGTTGTAAGACCGGTTTATTTAAAACACATCGAGATATGGAAAAACGAAGTTCTATTTCGATTCTTTGAAGTCCAAAAGATTCAAAATTCTTTCATGGAAAAATGTAAAACCTGCATGGAAATGAAAAAGCATACGTGGGAAATCTTCCCTAAGAAACGTAGGTAGGAGAAATAATGTGTTCAATTGTTACATGTAATTCATTATTAGAAGCAAGTAAGTCGAGCAATACAATTGAAATAGAAAATTGCTTATAACTTTGAATTTTTCAATCTATGTTCATTAGAACTTTTTTCTTCTATTTGAGAAGTAAATAAATAAACGAGATTCGAAAAATAATTTTGCAATCTGGAAAAAGTCGTGCCTTCATCAAAATACCTTTGCCAACGCTCACATTCGTCCGAATCGTGCTAATTTGTGATGGTACGAATGATCCGTCCATGGAGCTTTACTGAAACGTATTCCAAAAGCTCGATTGATAGTTTTATATATATAAACCTAGTTATATATATTTAGATAGAAAAAACAGTGACTACCAATGTGCTCTTTTTTTTATTCAAATTCCTTTTACGCACTGTTTTTTGTTTGGTTTTTTTGTAAAATTATTTGTTAAATTTTATTAATTTTATATTTATATAATATTTATCCTTACATATAATTTCATTTAGTTTTATTACAATATGGATATTATGATCATTACATATAATACTGTTATTTTGGTTATTTATATGTAAAAAAAAATTATGAATAATCAAGGAAAATTACTTAAATACTAAATTTCAGTTGTCGATTTATTATCATGATGTGAAAAACATAACAGAGCTGTGTATTACATTGCATATAAATACAAATATATAAATAAGAGAAGGAAATGACAACTAAAATATTGTGTCAGCATATTTTATATAAAGGTATTTGTACAGAAAAGTATTAAAGTATAAAAAAAATATAAAAACGGTATGCAAATAAAAAAGTCAAGATATCATATTTCAAAGATTGATATTAATATCAGAAAGATAATTATATAATTGTTAAAATTAAAGAAAAAACACAAAGATACATAAAACTAAAAGCTAATTGGGAAATAAATCACAATAAAATCAGTATTTAATTGTGGTCAAATAAAAATTGAACATTTATTTCAGTATAAATAAGTACAAAACTTTATCTCATTAGCAGTTTCGAAATATGATTTCGAGACCCTAATAAGTGTTTTGTGTACGTGTATATGTATGTATGTTTAATACAGAATATTCAATTTATGTGAATAAATTTGTATTATTATACGTTATGTAATATACAAATAATTTTCGAGTCACAGACATTAAAAATTTATACTGATATATTATAGTTATTCAGAAAAATAAAAATAACAAACTATAATAGAATGTGTAATAAAATTGGTACTCTGTACATATTCTATATTAAACAAGTACATTAAGCGCGATACGCACGAATACTGTTGTCAATGGTTGTAGTTATTTAAAAGTTGTTCCGTAAATTGCGTAATATTTAATACAATTATCACTATTACTATGTTATTACTATTATTATTATGTTATTATTGTCATTATTGTATTATTTATCGATACGTAAGTTATTTATTATTATTTTGCATTCCAATGTACTAAGTTTTAATTATGTCTCAAAGTTGACGATGCTTGTTTATTTCAAAATTTATTTTTATTACTTTCCTTGTTATTCAACTTTTTAATTATGGTATGCTTTTGAAATAATAAAGCTTTCTCAATTAATTGTTTTTGATGACAAAATCATCAAAGTTTATAGAAAAATGTCTCTATTGTGAAATGTTTTAAATTCGATCAATGTATTTTTTTTTAAATACAAAACGTGCCTAAAAATGAACGTAAATGAACATATAAATAAAAAGACTATGATTTAATATTCCAAATAAATACTACATAAATGTTTTCAAGAGACAGAATTTTAAATTAGCATCGTCAATGCAAATTTTTAATATTTTGACCGAGTGCGTGTTCATCATATTCTTACGACATATGAAAATGAAATACAGTTAATGTTTCTTATTAAATTATCTTAGGAAAGAAAAGTAAGAAAAACAGAAAAGTCATGCATTAGATCGTGAAGAGATAATATCATTAATATTAGCTTTATTCCTGAAAATGTAATTAAAGAAAAAAAAACACTGAAAAGTATATATTAAATTATTTAATAAATCACTCTTTATCTTGGTATGCTAGAATCAATTAAATTTATTTCAAAAATATTAAATTAACGCTACATTTGTAAGATCTAATTAAATTCTTTTTTGTTTATATATGTATTTATATTGTATTATTACGTATGTTATATATGCTTATATTTGTATCATTTAATTTAAAAAAATGATTGATGATTCTTAACGATCTAAAATGTATGTCTACACAAAATATTTCTCATAGTGAAATTTTTTAAAATCATTTTTAATTCAATACATTAAAGTTAATTGTTATTATAATTTATTAAATTATTAAGACATTTGATAAAACAAAATTTTAAATATGTAAATAAGTGAATCTTCCATATCTAATATGTTTTTCACTATGTTTCAAGCAATATTTTAATTTGTATCTTAAAATTTACTATGAGTTATTTTTTATTTTCTTGCTATATTAATGTAAAAAAGCTGTTAAAATTTAAAAATTAATATATAATATCAATACATGAAGAATCTATTTATATTTTATTTTATTTTGCCATGCGATTACTTGTTCATTTCTATTTTAATAATTATTTGATTATTTAAACTAAATTTAATTAAATCCAATGATTAAATTTTAATTGAATTGAATTTGATTTATAAAACTATTAAGTTATTGATACATTTCTATCAATTTTTAAAAAAAAGAATTTAAGAATTCTAAAATAACATATTTCAATTACGATTTGAACAGACTTTTTTGTGTTCATATACTTGAATTGATTTAGTTTATATTTATTTCGTATGAAAATTAACTTGACTTCTGGTAAAAATTATTTGTATACTTAATGTTACATTATGTGTTACTTAAAACAATTCCTATTTCAAATAACATGTTAAAAAATGTTAATTGAAAATAAAAATGGCTTTTACACAAATAATTTAAAATGTTGCATGCTATAAATTCAGAATATGTTATATGAAATTGTATGTAGAGTATTTAAACGTAAAGTAAATAAAATAGATATAACTGAAAATGGACCAGAAGCATTAAAAAAATAGAGGAAACGCTAAAATTGTTGATGTTATTATAACTTATGGTGTAAAGGGTACAATTGAAATATATCATTATTATGTATGTTATACATGTATGTATTCGTATGAATTTCTCAGAAACCAAATTGATCGATTCCACTTTTTGGTAATTTCTTAACTGCTTTATAGAAGTGCGTAATTAATATTCAATTTAAAAAAAAAATAATACAAATAATAGTAAGTTTAAAAAAAAAGAATAGTGTTTATAATATTGTTACATTATTATATTGCTGTATTTTCCAATTTACGGAGTTGATTAATACAGTTTCTGAATAATTCATATAATAAATATTTTTCTTTCTATTGTAAAGTTTGCAAATAGATGCAGATGTAATTAAAGTAATCGCTGTTGTTAAAATTTTATTCGAAAAATTTATATAATTATCGATATTACAATATTGGAATAGTCTAAATAAAATAAAAATATCTTCGCATTGATTTAAATTATTTAAATACATTTTTCTAATTTAACAGTGATATAATGCTATGTATGATCCTATTCGTACAATTTAAAATTAGTTTACTAATTCGATATGTGGGGGGCGGGCGAAACACTGAAAAAAACCAAATACTATTATGGCGGTAAACTATTGGGCGTTGTTCTTGACACCTGTTGCTTTTCCTCGGTTTTGTGGTTTGAAGGAACTTTTGGTTTTTAGAATTTAAAAAAGGAAGTTCGAAACTACACATATGAGTTTGAATCATGGTACAACGAAGTAAGTTCTGTTTTTCAAAGAAGATATTTCGATTACATTTGTCATTTAATTGTCGAAATAAAAACGTATATTTAAGACAAAAAGTGAAAAAAAATGTAAATTAGCAAGGAATTGCTATATCTTGTTTCATTTTTCAATATGTAAATAATTTAAATAAATACGCCATTTTGGAATGCAGACCTGTTTGACAGTTCATTTTATCTTTTCTTATCTTGCTGTTGTTTTCTTTTCTTTTGTTAATAATTTGTAAACAAGATTATGTGTTTATGAACTTTCTAATAAAATTCTTCTCGAAAATTTATTATGTCTTAAATCAGAATAATTTTAAGATATGAGTTTTTAGGTTATATACGTTTTATGTGTTTATCTATTTCATGTAAGTTTTGAAATACATTTCCTGATATTTATCATTTAATTACGTAATAATTGTCTCACTGTTCTTATTTTTAATGTAATAATTTTCTTTACAGAAATTAGCAATGGGTAAAAGCGAAGAAAGAAACGGAAACACAATACAAATAAGTGAATCAACTTTTCTTATAAAAACATCAAGCGAAGCTAGTAAGATGCTGGAAGCTGCTTTGTTACAAATGGATGACATTATTTCTGGTAAACTGCGATCATCAATTTGAGATAATTTCATTGAAATGTACAACTAGTATCAAGAATATTTAATTACTGATTGATTTAAGAAATGTTCTAGATTCTTTATTAGGTGGTAATTAAAATATACATGATCATTAATATTACAATATATATTTTTAGGTGTATGTACAGAAAGCAATAATGAAGGTAATGCAGAATGGAAGGATTCTGTTAAAGAAGCCACAAAAAATCTTGTGACAGCAATTAAAAACTCTCCAAGTTCTCCGTCTCCCCCAGATACAGCTACTATTGAAATTTTACTGCAGTGGATGCAACCGGTAAATATTTGCATGTTTATTTTAATTATATATCATATTTCAATCGTATATTATTTTATACTGATATAAATTAAAGAATTAAGCTAGATCATAGATTCTTTGTTACATGAAATAACATATTTAAAAATATAATTTTAGCACATTGCCATTTTATTTAACAAAGAAGCATATGATATATAATGTGCCATAAAAAATATTACAAACTTTTCTTTTAAATTATTATGTGAGCCAAATGATATATATACATACAAATATATTGATTACATTTAATTTTATTAGGGAAAGGGAAAAGAGATTCTTAAGATAACAAGGAATTAAATAGCAATTATACCAAATTAAATACCAAAGTTAATAACATTGACTTGAAAAATTCTTTTTTATTTTTGTTTTTTTTGTTCTGGATTAAAAATCATTTTATCAAATTTTTAAAATAGTTTATCTAAAGTATATTCCTTAAAATCATATATATTGGTAAGAGAAAATATGTTTTAATTTGAAAAAATATTCAAATATCTAAAGTATAAATTAGTGAAATTAATTAGAAGAATTTTGAAACAATGGAAGCACTATATTATGTTAAACAAAAGAAAAAAGAAAAACAGAAAAAATAAATTAATATTTACTTAAACTGCTTAAATACTTTATGTGATCTATCTTGAATAAATAGAACTTCAACTTCTGAGCGTCAGAAAAGATTTTAAGAAATGTTTTAATACATAAATACTTTATGTGATTTATCTTGAATAAGTAGAACTTCAACTCTTGAGCATTAGAAAAGATTTTAAGAAGCATTTTAAAAAATTTTTAGATATTAATACCAAGTTTCAATATATATATTATATAAGACACTTACAAACACACTTACAAACACATCAACACATTAATTAAAATATAAATTGATTAAAAATGTTAAGTAATGTTAAAAGTTAGAGTGATGTCAAATTTGGATTGATTTGAAATATATTGTTTATTTTATTGTTTATTTACTCTTTAACAAAAAAATAATGATAAATATTTTAATGTAAATAATAATAAAAATATTATTTATTTATGTGTCAAAAATATAACAGATTTTGATTTTTGAATAAAAATTGGGGCGGTGTTGACTTAATAAAATTAAATCCTATTATATAAAAATCTTATTTTTTATATTATTTATAATAGGATTTATAAATAATATAAAAGAACTTGATTGAAAAAACTTGACTTGTCTTAGTTAAAAAGTAAAAAAAATATATATTTTACAAATTTGGAAATATACTTTCTTTTTTATTTGAAAACTACGTGCACAAAAATCTAAATGAATAATATAGATTTCTGAATATAAAAACTAACCATCATATTACTTTAGTAACAATTTTAAATAGAAAGATTTTGGTATTTCGAAAAACAAAGAATGATCTATGTATAGATCACGTCACGTGACTACTCCTGCTTGAGAAATTTTAGAATGATAATTTTAGTTTCTAACAGAACCGCGACTCGATCGTTTCATAAAGATTATTTCTCATTGATATTATTTTTGAAATATTAATTTGCATGAAAATGATTGAAAGAAAGAACGGAGAAAAATATGTGATTGAAAAAAATTAGTTAAACTTTAAGATTAGAAGATTTATAGATAGAGAATAGAAAGGGCTTCTGGGAGATCCCGAGAAAATAAAAGAAGTTAATAAAATTAGGATTAAAAGAAATTCTTACTTGTAAATTGTATATGCTTAAAAAATAATTTCTTTGGCAGTACTTTATATTATTTAATTAAATAAATTCTGTGTAAAAATTTATAAAAATTTTTATATATTATGTTCAAACAAAATAGTGAAAGAAATTATACGTTTTTTAAAAAATTAATTGCGTAAATTGATCTAACAATAAGTTCAAAGCCGTCGAAAAACTATGTCGAAATCAAAACAATTGAACAGTTGGATTCCTTCTGAAGAATATGATTCTTCAGAGACATCAAATTCTGAACAAGAAGAAAATGAGTTTACGAATATTGATTTTTTGAATCATCGAATACATGAATCTGGCAATTGCTTTTGCCAGGTAATATAGATAAGAGAATATTTGAAAAAAAGAGAATTTATTTATTTTTTAATTTATTTATTAATATCTTTATCAATAAGTATTTAAATTTTTACGAAAAATTAATTTTTTAAAAATGTAAAATTGTAATTTTATTACATATAAAGTGAAGAAATGATTTAAAATACATAAAAACTCTGTTATAATTTTTTTAATTTTCATATACTATAAAATTTTTCTTGCAAATTATTCTAAAAAATTTTTTCATATTTTAAAAATCTTTATCATTTAATTGAAATACACGTGTTAATAATGATCCTTATATAGATTCTTCAAATTTAAAATATGTTTTAGTGTTAAAAATATCTTATAATATTGTAACAGATTTAATAATATATATTTATTTATTTTATGTAAATTTGTTTATATAAGTAAAATATTTATCAAAAGTTTAATAAAATATATTAAAAATATATTAAAATTTATTTCAAATTGAGTATGAAACGTTTAGAAGAATCATATCATTTTCTTAGAGTTGTCCATTAGGTAATGCTAAAATGGTTAATCTGAGGGGAAGTGTGCCTAATCTCTGTGCATCCACAAACCTAACACACATTGGGTCTCTTCCGCCTTTCTATTCTACAGTATATAATATGAGGTCTCTTTGTATTTTTATTTCTTTATTATTTACAAATTTAAAATCACTGATTTTATAACATGATTAAACAGCTTTTGTTCAAAAACCAATGATTATCAAGGCAATAAAGATTATAAAGGAAATCAAAGCAGTCGTTCTTTAGAATTAGGAAAAAAACGACAAGTGAGGAATAGAATATTAGCTGAACAAAGAACTAAATCACAATCGGATCTTCTTTTAAGAAGAAAAGAATTTCCTTATTGTTGTTTCTCACAACATTTTCAAGATACACAAAAATGCCATAAGTGTCAAACAAAGACTGAGGTATATTGATACTTATAATAAAGAATATTATGGAATTAATAATTAAAATAATGGTTAAAATAATATATAATTGACATAATTAATTTCATAATTAACCAATATGAATATTACATTATATTGTTAATTATGTTAAATTTGTCTTTTAATTATCTTTTAATTATTAATAAAATATATTTTTTATATATTAATAAAATATATCTTTTAATTATTAACATGTTAATTTATTTATTGTTTATATTATGGAACATGTTAATTTGTTAATTTGTTTATATTATGGAACTTGAGTTAAATGCATCAATATTATAATTATTAATACTTAATATAGATAATGTTATATAGATTTACATAGTACATACGTATATCTTAATATTATATTTATATTAGATATTACACTAGATCTTTTTCTTTTGTTTCAGTATTTTGTATTAATATTATTAATAAATTATTTTTTTTATTAAATATTATTCTAACAAATAAATTTTTGTTAGATATATTGATTGTGAAAATGATTGATAATATAATTATGATTAATAAATTATATTTCATATAAAATATTAAATGTTATAGGAACGTTTAAAAAAATTAGAAAATGAACGTGGAGCACTATTGATGGAAGTATCAGTTTTGTCAGAGCAAGTGGATGCACAATCCAACAAAATACAAGAGTTGGAAAACATGCTTAGGGAAAAGAAGGATACTCTTAGAAGAATGGAAGAGGCATTGCAGAAGGTAATTTTATGATTTTTTATATTACGTTATTATATAATATTTTATTTTATGTAATAATTATGTTTCTATGAATGTTATTGTTTTAACATAATCTATATTATATTTATAATTTTATCATACTTATTTATAATTTCTTATACTTTGTGTTATTTTTGCTTCTATTTTATTTTTATCTGTATTTTATTCTAATAGTTTTAATTTTTGAAGGAAGTACTCTCAAGAAGTGCTTTGGAAACACAAAAATTGGAACTCTTGAGTTCTTTATCAGAAATGAAACTTAAACAAGCAAGTTTAGAGCATGAAAATCTTGCACTCCGTAGTATAAGTCCTATGTCAAATGTAAGTTGATGAAAATTTATATAAAATTAAATATCTCTTTGTAAAAAGAATATGTAAATAGCTATATATATTTGTGTTAAATATAATAGAATATATTATTATTAGCAATATTGAAAGCAATTTATTACAGGGAGAAAAATTTGGGAGGCATACCAGTCAATATAGTAGTCTTCCTAGGCCTCCGAGTACTTCAAAGAAAGGTGTAATGTTCGGTAAGGTACCCAGTTTAGTTTCTGGAGTACACACAACGGTACCATTGGCCGTTAAAGGAGTCTCCGCGAGATGCCTGTCTGCACCTACTTTAGGTTGCAATTGATTTTTGCTTTAAGCATGTATATTTTCAAGAAAATAATTGTTCTTTTTACATGACAGGCAGTCGTGGCTAATAATTAAAAACTTACTATTAGCTTATATTAATATTAATAAATTTAATTTTCTGTCATTAGTTTCATGTTGATTTTTTGCATGAAAATTTTGATTGTTTGATTTTATCTGTTCTGATCTATAATATCATTCACATGTAATTAACATATATAATATAACAATACTTTAAAACATTAATATGTTTTGAACACTAAGATATTTATTGCATCTTTAAATTATTTATTTGCTTTTGTTTTACATTTATTGTTAATGTATAATGACATATTTATGGTGAACTTATTTTAATAAAATTAAATTTTTTCTTATTCTATTTATTTTAGCTGAAGAGGAAAAAACAATTATAGGAGATTCAAATTTTCGAATGGAGTCGACTCAGAAATCTTTGGTAGAACTTTCAATGGAAGAAATTGGAGATTGGCTTACAAATTTAGGATTAGAATGTTACGCAGGTGAATTGAGAAGATGGGGTGCTACTGGATCAAAATTATTAGAATGCTCGCAACAACAATTAGAAAAGGAATTAGAAATTAAAAATGTTCTTCATAGGAAAAAATTATTGTATGCAATAGAATCAGAAAAAACTGGTGGAGCTGAATTTCTTGGATCAGAGAAAGTAATTTTTAGAGTTTTATGATTATATATTATCTCATATAAATTAAATATATTTTATATTATATAAATTACATATTTTTAAATAAAATAAAATAATAATATTAAATTAAATATTTACAGATGGATAATGCAGCAGTTTTGCGATGGCTAGATGATATTGGGTTACCACAACATAAAGAAGCTTTTCAAAATGGTAAAGTTGATGGTAGAATGTTACATAGACTCACCACTGAAGATCTTTTAAATCTTGGAGTTACTGCACAGTTACATGCTGCAAGCCTTAGAAGAGGAATTCAGGTATCTTGTATAATTTATTGTGAATATTATACTAATTACAACAGTTTAAATTATTGATCATTTGAATAAATTTAAATACAGTAAATTGATATTGCAGTAAATATTAAATTATTTATTAGATTATATTAAAATTAAATTAAATATTGGATTAAATTAAATTGAATTATTTAAAAAATGATATTTTTATAGATTCTACGAGAATTAAATTTTGAATTTGATAACCTTGAAAGAAGATCTACAAATGGTAATGGAGCAGATGGTAGTAATGTTCATCTCTGGACAAATCATCGAGTAATGGAATGGCTTAGAGTAGTTGATTTAGCAGAATATGCACCAAATATGAGAGGATCTGGAGTACATGGAGGTTTGATGATGTATGAAGGCAGATTTACTTCAGAATTGTTAGCCACAATACTTAGTATTTCGCCAGGAAAAACTCTTCTTCGTAGACATTTAACTACACATTTCAATCAAATTCTTGGAAGAGAAGTTGTACAAAGGAAAAGAGAGATTGAAAGTACTCTTGGATTCGTTCCACTTACGCTTACTGCTCGTTTGAAGGTAATTTCAATTATTTTTAAGCATACAGAAATCTATAATTAAATTATTCATAATTCATACTTTTGTTTCATTTTTAAAAATGATATCTTTGAAATCTTTTGTATTTGGAATGAAATTATCATTTTGCTGTTTGTTCTAAAATCATAAAATTCTTTTTATTTTTTTTATCTTTACAGTAATAGAAAATATTTTAAAAGAACGATTAGATATTTATTATAATAGCGAAAATTCAATAAATCAATAATAATAACAATAAATCAAAGTAGAACAATTAATAAAAGAAATTATTTGTACTTATTAAATAAATGATATTAATCAAATTATATAATGATTAAATAAATGATATAATCAAATTATATAATTAATGATAATTAAATTTTTATTAAACTTCAATAAAAATGTCAATCAAATTAGAATAAAATTGGTTTAGGTACCTAAGAAATCTCAGTTTACTTTAAAACGCAAGAAAAGCAAGAATGAAGCAGATTATGGTAATTTGGTCTGCCCTTTGGAAGCTTCACCGCCAGGTACTCCATCAACACCTACTTCAACACCAGGCAGTCCTAACTTAAATTCACCTACATTCTAACAATAATCAGAGATCACAGTCTCGTAAGTTTAATTTGACTAATATTATTCAGTTTTTTTATTAACTTATATTCCTCGTTTAATGAATAATTCATTAAATATATGGTCTTATTTTATATTAAATAATTTCTACCTTATTTCATTTTATGTAAAAATTATATATCATACAAACATTCTTTAAAATTATATTTATTTCATCTTTAGAATTGCTTACTTAGATTAAAATAGCAAATCATTGTATTTTTATATTTAAAATCATTATAATTATAAAAACAGTAAAATTAAGATAGTGCAGAAAATATTTAAAAATTAGTAAGGAGCAAAAAAATTTTATTATTACAGACATTTTTATTATTACGATATTAAAATTCCACTTTGTGGATTGCATATATATTAACATATTTTAATATGTAAACTGTGTTATATTTAATAACGTGTAGATTGTGTATTGAATTAAAATATTATGTATTGATAATATTTTTTAGACGTAGTTAATAAATTTTCATTTTCAAAACAATTAAAAAATTTTAAAAAATTAAATTTTTCATAATTTGGATAATCAACAAATTTGACAATCAAGTAAGACATAAATGGTTTTATTATTAATAAATAATACGAAGATATAATTATTTTATATACGAATATTAAAGGATGTTATGATTTTGTAATTATATATTTTTTAACATCATCATCATTTAAAAGGCTCAGTTTATTAACTAATATATATAAAGTGACACACACATATATATATTTATTATTATAAATATTATATTTAGAAAAAAATAAACTATAATTTTTGTATATATATATTTTTATTATTTTTCAAAAATGTCTAATATTTCAATAAACTAATGAATTTTTAATTTACATTATAACAAAATTACATATTTTATGTTATTATACATATAATCATTTGTTCATTCGCTAGCATTTATAAATTTATTTAAATTTCACATATACCATGTATTAATAAATTAATTTCTTACTAATTAAATATTTTAAAAGGTAAGTTAGTACACTATTCTAGTTACTTGTTTGTTTACTTCATTTTGTCATTTATTGAACTATATAATTTAATATAATAAATTATTTAATTGTTTAAAATATATAATAATTAAATAATATTATACAAAATACTATCTTTTCCAGAGCCAAGAGATAATAGACAGAGGAGAATTATTGGTTGCATCTGAAGAATGTAATTACATCTGTAAATAAGAAAAATATTCTAGGGACCATTATTTCATCTACTTAGACTAAGTTTGACTATTTAATTTTGTATGATAAAAAAAAATCTTTAAAAAGTACTTTAGTAAATCAGTTTACTTATAGTAAATCTTTAAATGCACATCCCGTTGAAGTAATTTTTCTAGAAAATATTGCGTTTTCAATATATTTATTTTGCTATGTATAATTTTTACAATATTTTCATATTTTAAATAGAGAACAATCTTTGTATAATGGGAATATTAAATTTTATGAATATAAAGAAGAGTACAAGTTTTACTCATGTAAAAATATGACTAATTAACACACTTATTTATAAAGGACATGAAATAAAGTAATATTTATATTGCTTTTGTAGTGTGTCATCATGTTTCATTTTACTGAAGTTTTATTAATACATTTGTTTTATGCTATTCTTAAATAAATTTAAATAATCAAAATATTAAAATATTCGTTTAAATTTATTTAAAAATTTAAATTCATTTTTAATCATTTAAATTTATGTATATTGATGTTAGTTAAGCCAAATCTCTAAATTATTTCATAAACTTATTAAACAACAAATTATTCTGTATTTAATCAAATAACAATTGTGTATTTTATTTCATTCAATAAATATTCTTATTTCAATTATCAATAAGATAAAATATGTCACAAGTTGTTGAAAATTAAACAAAAACTAAATGATATGTCTAAATATTTTATATCTAAAGTTAGTTAAAATTTAATGTCTATTAATTCAATTAATATTAGTTGCTACTATTGATTCCTTTGGAAGTAAGTATAATTCTTGTAATTTTAATCAAAAATTTTTTATATAGATATTTCTATAAATATTAAATGCCAAAATAAAGTTGTATCCATTAAAAATTTATACCATACTGTACTGATTACAAATAAATAAAAATTACAATTAATATATACAATTCAATCTATATGAATGAAATTATTTAAAGTAATTAAAATATAATTATTAACCTAGACATTTCTATCATACATAATCCATAATATTTAAAAAATTGTATAAATAATAAAAATTATTTGTTATATATAAATATAAATTTAAAAATTCAATAAATCTTTCGTCGTATGTATTCATGATCTATAGTATATTGTTGCTCTATATTCTATATATTCATTCGGTTCGTGTTTTTCATTGCCATGCGCGTTGAGATCCAAACTAGCATTGTAAATAAACAGTATGCTGTGGACAGAAGTGACAAAATGTGAAAAGAATATATAACTATATTAAACAATGGAAAACGATCGTTTAGCGATCGTTTATGTTGCAAACGAAGACAAGGAATTGACTCTTGCAATTACTTATGGGCAAACAATTGAAGATCTTTGTCTCAAGGTAAAAAAAATTTAAAAAAAATCATTTATCGTAATTTTATTTTTTATTATTTTAAGGTTAAATAAATACTTATTTTTTTCCTATTTCAGAAGATATTGAATACTTCTATTGGTATTTTTTAGAATTAAGGTGAAATCCAAATTGAATTAAAGTTTAATTTTTATTTGAATTTTTTTAAAGAATTCTAATCAAATTTAGATTTAACTAAAAGTTAAATTTATTGCCAGTGTGTCTACATATCTATTATTCATATCTATTATTCATATATAACATAAAATTTTCATATTTATATAAATAAAACTTTCTGACTCTATTTTTACAAATTTGTATCGTAATTTATATAAATGATCATTTTTTAGGTCTGTAAATCTCTTGGAATACGCCCAGTAGCCAGACATCTTTTTGCTCTTAGAAATCATTATACAAAACTTTGGTATCCGTCAGCGTACTGCTTAGAAATGAAAGATAAAAACAAATTTGACTTTAGGTTAAGATTTAAGCCTTCAAGCTTACAAAGATTAAAGCATGTTGATGTAAATGCCTATGATTACTATTTTCAACAGGCACGTTCAGATGTTATGGATAATAAGGTGCCAGACATTGTTTATGAAAGACACAAACAAGAATTAATTGGTCTTGGTGTTAGTGATATGTACAGGTTTGTATAATATATTTAATTAAATCGTTTAACATTATATGTAATTCATATTTTTATTTAGATGTAATATAGAAATGTTCAATACATCACTATGATTAATTATACAAGTAATTGTATGTAAATTTTATTGAATTTTTTTAGTTTATATTTTTTAGTCATTGAAAAAATCTTTCTTTCTTGTTTCATTGTGATTTATTTTTTGTTGAGGTTATGATAATTGATGATGTAATACCAGTAGCATGTAATGATGTTCTATCATAAAAACATTTGATATCTCGATTTCATGTTATTGCAATAAAATTTATTATGAGAATGAATCATCCAAAATATGACCAAAAAATCATGATAATTAATACCATTTAATTAATCCAGATTTTTAACTTTAGAGATATTTAAAGAGAAAGATCTATGCGAATAAGTCATAATTCAGCAGTTTATAAAGAGGCATGCATTAGTAAACAGTAAAACATTAGTAAAACAGCTAGAATTAGTTATTTAATTATATTATATTTTACACATGTTTAAAATGATTTTATGACTTTCTGTATATGTTTGAGATATTTTTATAAATATAAAGTTCCTAAAAATTCTTAGTTTACATAATTAATTTTGATTAATTTGGAAATCTTCCTGTATAGATTTTATCAATTCTTACATATTTTATGATTCTATTTTATTTGTATATTAATTTCAAATAGATCCTTCAAAAGTGAATCCTGCATTTTAAAACTAACTAAAATCTTAAAATCGTTTAGTAACAACATTTGTATTTTATGAAAGTTTAGTTTTGTTTTCAATTAATAATATCGGTAGTTTTGTTTTGTCTTTTTATAGAGTAATGTTAGAAAAAAGACTACCAAGAGAAACAGTGGAATCAGAATATAGGAAATACATTCCTAGAGAATGTATAAAACGTCATGCGTTTTTTATTAAAAAACCAATTCATAATGCACTTCGAAAAATATCTGGATATGATGCAAATTATGTCAAGGAACAATATTTAAAACAATTTGAATGTATGGCGCCAAATTATCCATATGAAGAATATGAAGCTTTAATGGATAGAGGTCTTCAAAATCCACCAGCAAAAGTGATTTTAAGAGTCAATGTAGACGAAATAAAATATTCTGAAACACTTGCTACTCCATGGACTACATTGTGTGCAATTGAAGATTTATGTTTTGTTTCCATAAGGTTTAAAATTTATTACTAAATATATAAAACAAGTATTGAAAGCGAAATTTAAACCTAATTTTTATTTTTTTATTTAGATACAAATAAAAATATTATTTTGTAGTAGAAACTGTACAATGAATCTAATATGAGTATTAAAAACAAGATCTAAATTTAATTTTTATTAATATTAGTATACTTTTATATAAATTTTAAATACTTTCATATAAGATGTCTTTTTGTAGTAAAAATTTTATTATGCAATATAATATGTTCAATTTTCAATCTTTGTATATTCAAATTTTTTAAATTATTTAATAATGTGTTACTACTATTCACAGAAAATATAAAGTAGAAAATACTATTATTTCATAAAAAATATTTGTTTATAAATTGTATTTGATATATTACAATATTATGTCATGTTATTAATGATATTCTAAAAAACATTTTTTACCTGTGAAAATAATTTTTTTTTTCATACTACATACAAAAAAATAAAACAATTATCTTGTTGATGTCAAATAATACGTGTCTTATTCATAGCTGTAATTTTTATATCAGAAAATTTCGAAATTTCCATTAGTTTGCATTTGATGATGTTTATGATCCTTAAAAATTGTATGATCTAATAATGATATAATAAAATGTGTAAATTTTATATAAAATATTTATTAGTATTTTGCGTAATATATGGTCTATTAGTGGTATATAATGATCAGCAAAAGTAGAAGTTTTATTAGACACGTATTAAAATATCCTTAAATATCCTATTTAAATAAATGAAATGTAAAGAAAAATGAAAAATCAAATTAGTATTAATACTATTTGTTCTTAGTTAAATATTGGAACTTTTAAAGCTTAAGTAATTTTTTTTTTCGTTAAGCACTGAATATCTTAATACTTTTGTAATTAACATCATAATTAATATTTATTTATAATATAATAATTAACACTTTTTCTTTGTTTTATTTATATTTCAGTATTTTAATATTTGTATTATTTTCTAGACAAGATAATACAGTGGAAATATCAAGAAAGAATGGTATACCTTCATATTTAAAATTTTCAAAGAATGCACTTTTAATGTCTTTTGTTTCTGCACTGGATGGTTATTATCGCTTAGCAGTTAAATGGACATTTAATTTATGTGGAGAAGTTGTTACTCCTTCTTTAGAAAGATTACATAAATTAAAATGTCATGGTCCAGTTGGGTAAGATTTCATTTATTTAAATTAATGTAATTTTGTAAAGATATAAGAATGCGCGTACACACACACATTTATGAGTACATAAAATTTAAATTTTATTTTAGACAAGAGTTTTCATATACGAAATTACAACAAAAACGTGCAAATAAACCAGGTTCTTATTTACTTAGAGAAAGTGAAACAGAGTACAATGTATATTATTTAGATGCATGCAATAAGGAAGGAAAATTGTTTTCAAAAAGGATAGAAGAACGAACTGTGTCAGGTGATTTCATTATTACTGGTGTTCCTGGTCGATACAATACATTAGCACAGTGTGTCTCATCTTTCCAAGATTCTGAAGGACAGTCATATCTTTCAGAATGTTTACCACCTTCAGAGTATGGTAAATTAAGAACATTTCTTTAGTTTTACTTTGAACTGTAATAATAATCAAATTATAAGTAACAGAAAGAATTGTAACTTGTATTTTAGATAAGTCATCGTTACTACTTTGTGCTCCTGAAAGTGCAGTCAGTGAAGTTGCAGCTGATGAAGAAATCGTTGCTTCAGTTTTAGAAACTGGACCTCGTTGCGTACCACAAAATCAATTAGAAATTTACAAACCTTTTTTAAGAACTGGTAAAATTCAACAGTATTCACCAACAACTCTCCATAGAGCAATTTGGAGATTGACCAAAGGAAAAAAATTAGAAGTTGCTTTGAAAATTTTAAAACAAGAGGAAGAAACAAATTATACAAAAGAATTTTTAGAACTTGCGGGGAAATGGTCCCAGTTGCGATCAGGCACTCTTGTAAGGTGAATAACAGTACTTTGAATAAATTAAATAATATACTAAAAATATTCTAAATCGTTGTATAAAAAATATTAGTAATTTTTTAAATTTCTATATCCCACATTAATAATACAATGATTTTATATGTTCTAATAGATTATATGGTCTAACAGTAACACCATCCATTGGAATGCTTCTGGAATTGGTACGACATGGTTCTCTTGATGAATATTTACGTAGTCCTTCTTCTCAAACTATCAAAACTGTAGATATGGTAGAAGCAACAGCTTGTTTAGCCACTGCTCTTTGGCATCTTGAAGAGAATGGTATAGTTCATGGTAACATTAGATGCAATAAATTGCTAGTACATGCCCACACCACTAACAGTTTTGTAGTGAAACTTGCCGATCCAGGAATATTTGTATATACAGAAACAGATATTCACTGGTTACCTCCAGAAACTTATAATGATCCAGAATTAGCTAGATATAGTTTTCAAGCAGATGTTTGGGCTGCTGGAACAACAATTTGGCAAATTTTTGCTAGGTAAAGCATTTCAATAATCGAAATCTATTAACTTTTTGTTATTTTATTGTAGTTTTGATTAGGTATAGAATTGTTTTTTATAGTATAAAACTATATAAAATAAATTTATTTTAATAATATGAATTATAAGGTATTTGTTTCAAAATGTGTATGAAAAAATATATATTTATTTTTAGGGGAGTTACATTACAAGAATTCCAAAATGCCGACGCTATGAAGAAATGCTATAAATCTGGAAAACGTTTACCTATTCCGAATGGTTGTCCTATAGAAGTCTATAGATTGATGCTTGAATGTTGGGGAGATTCAAGTGGTTCTAGGAAACAACCTCAGGCAATTATGAGAGATATAAATCAAATACTGTATCAAGTATATAATTCTCGTAGAAGTCATGCATATGCAACGGCATTTCCTAAACTGTTTAGTTCTGAAATGAAAAAATTTGAACAAGATAATTCTGACTCCAGCGATAGTAAGTCACTAAATAGTGAATCGAGAAGTAATAGTTTTTCTACAGACAATACGAGTCTCAGATGGAATGATACTGACGATAGTAAGAATTTTATTTGCTATAATAACAAAACAAAACAATTTTGTTTTTAAACAAAATTTTCCAATTTATATTATTTTAATTTTAGGTATGCAAGGTTTAATCAACACCAATGAAGATAGTACAGAAGATCTTTCTGCGTATTTAGGTTGGTTATCAAGTGCAAGAAGAGATTCAGAAGGGTGTTCAATCTCTCAAAATAACATTCCTAATATGAATTGCATTGAACGCTCCACTCAAGTTTTGCGAATAGGACACCCCGGTGATTTAGGCGAGGTAGTAAAATTGAAGATATTAATATTAAATATATTTTAGCGTTCAATTTTAACAGTTGTTAGTTATAAGTATTAAATAATTTAATAATTTAATCAAATTGTTTTTTTCTAAAAATAATATAATTTTAATTAAATTTAATTAATTAAAATAAGAAAAATTTTAACGTATAATATAAAAATAGGTAATGGGAAGAAATGAATCTGGAACAGAAGATTGTGGCTCTGGAGGAAGTAGTAATGGTTCCTTAGGTCAAATGCGAGGCATTTATGAATTGGATATTGATTGTAACGTAATTTTACAAGGTAGAATTGGTCAAGGTTTTTATGGGGAAGTTTATAGAGGTACATTGGAAAGAGAAAATGGGAAAGATATTGAACCACAACAAGTTGCTATAAAAAAATTAAAAACAAGAGCACTTGAAGCAGATATAAGAGACTTCGAAAGAGAAATTGCTATAATGAAGGTTAATTAATTATTTAATGACTTGTAATTAATTAAATTATAATCGGATTTGCAATATTAAAATTCCAATGAATTAATAAAATTACAGACCCTGAAACATCCAAATGTTGTGGAAATTTTGGGGGTAATATCAGAACCTGAAGTTTGTCTAGTAATGGAATATGTAAAACATGGTTCATTGCAAAGTTATCTATCAATTCACAAACAAGAATTGACACATAGAAGACTGTTAGGATTTGCTTTAGACATTGCAACAGGAATGGATTATTTAGGTAGCATGAGTATTGTTCATAGAGATCTTGCTGCAAGAAATATTTTAGTTGCCGATGAAAATAAAGTTAAAATCAGTGATTTTGGGTTAGCTCAAGTTACTGGGAAAAATGATTATTATATTTTACAGACTGATCGAGGCCTTCCTATTAAATGGTAAGTCATAAATATAAATTGTGTATTCTTAACGTTTTATCGAAATTCTTTTTTTTCTTTTAAGGTATGCTCCAGAAAGTATCAGAGATGGGAAATTTTCCACTCGATCAGATGTATGGTCGTTTGGCGTAACAATGTATGAAACATTTGGTTTTGGAGAAGAACCACGTTTACCTGGCCTTGATTCAAGTACAGAACGTCTTCAAAATGAACAAGAGAAAGGAAGCACTGAATTATTAGCTGCATTAGAAAGAGGCACTCGTCTTCCTTGTCCGTCTACCTGTCCACAAGCAATTTATGTAAAACTTATGTATCCTTGCTGGCATTTACAAAGCCACCAGAGACCAGATTTTGCAACTCTTTGCAAGGATATTAAAGATCTTCTTGCTCAATATTAAAAACAAGAAATGAAAAAGAAATATGTGTGAAATGAAACGTAGGTAATATATCATTTATGAAAATTAAACTTCAACTTTGCAAACATTTTTATAATTTTAATAATTTATAAAAATTTGATATATAAATTTTTTAATTTATGGACATTAAATAAATATAAAAACTGATAGGTTTGACCTTAATCTAACTTTATATGTAAAGTTAAAATATTATTGTTAAGTAAATGCAATTATTGTAATTAATAATTCAAAGAGAAAAATATTAGTTTATCCATTTCTTGTTATGTATTGTTTACTTTAGCATTACAAAATAAATTGTAAATTTGTAAAAAGATATAATTTAGTGAAGGTAAAACGAATTCCATAGAGAAAAATTTTTTCTTTGTGTATATATAGGAATTCCTTTTACTTATAATTATAGATATTTCCTGGAATAAAGAAATTTATATTTTTGCTTTTTATAAGAAATAAATGATTAATTATTTCACTAATTACAAACAAAATTAAGATTAAAATTAATTGGTATACTATTAAGAATTCAGTTTGAATGTAATCGAATTCATGTAATATATTGTATTATTATAATTCGTTAATATTGAAAAGAAAGTCTAATATACCTTTTCATGATTTTAATTTTTGAATATATTTTTTTATTTCTAAAGTACGTCTATATCTATATCCAATATATGTATATTTGCATATAATATACAAGTGTATTCATAATGTTACAAAACTTGAGTTACTTAAATTATTAATATCTAATATATGTATATATATAAGTACGTAATTTTTGTAAATTATCTAATATGTTTCTGTCAAAAGAACTTAAAATTTTTATTATTGTAGTCTTAATATTTGTTTATTTTTTGTAAATATTTTCATTAAAAATGTTATATTTTAAAAATTCTTGAACATAATTAAATGCTTTCTTAATTTAAGCTATGTAATATTTCTATAAAAATTTAATTACATTGATAAATAATTTAATTTAATGTTATATAATGTTGAAAAATATTGACATGAAACAATCACAATAAATTTTTAATTAAATTGTTGTGACATATTTTGAAATATTCTAATGCTAATATAATTGCAAAGAGTGAAAAATAAATATAGAAGTGCTTACATTTAATTTTTTTACTTTATTTTCATTATGTATGCATATAGATAGATATATTATATATATAAACAAAATTAGGAATTTGAATTAGCATTAGGTCCACGTCGACGACTGTAAGTTTGAACAACATTAACAAATCTTCGATTATATTGAATCCGCCTTTTAGCTCGACCAGTTTTCTTTTTACTCTTTTCTTGTTTTTCCACCTGCAGAATGAAAAATATTTAAAATAATTTAAAAATTAAACATTTACGAAAATTAAAATAAATTATTTAGAAAATTCTTAAAATAAAACAGATATTAATAATAATTATTATTAATAATTTAACCAAAAATCTTCTATCTTTGAAAAAAAAAAAGTTTTTGAATAACACTTCGAAATATCTCGGATTCATATGATATTAAATAAATCAATACAGTTAATGTTCTAAGTTAAGGATTGACTAAATATGACTCTAAACTGTTCGCATAAAAATGTTTTAACTGCTTTAATTTGATTTGACTTTGAATTGATTTTAAAATTTAGTAAAACAGTTTCTGTAATAATTATTTTTCTTTAGCCATGTAGTGTATCAGTAAATTACCTTTGGTGTTTGAGCTTTTACTTTTCCAGCGCGAGCTAAAGACCCGTGGACCTTACCTTAAAAATTAAAATGATGTTAATATTAAAATAATTTTATATTTATAACTATAAATTTATATATTATAATTTTATATTTATGAAAAATTAATAAATTTAAAAAATTTTTTTAATTGTGAGAACTTACCACCAGGAAGAGAAACTGTCAACTCTAAAACATTTGATGCAAGATCTCCAACTAAAGTATCATTTTGTAATAAAAGGCCAGAACAATATAAGTTGAATTCTGTATTTACAGCACCCTCTGCCTCCACAATTTTTTTCTGAAAAAATAAAGTTTAATTATTATCTTACTCTATTATAGTAACTACATTATATTATTCACAATTTTAAAATCTAATCTCTTATCACTTTTCAAGAAGAATGATTTTATATCAACTATTTGTAAAATATTTTTTATAATGATAAGATATTAAAAAATATAAATGAAGACACATTCTAACAAGATTTTTCTATTGTCTTATCGCAAATCAATATTGCTTCATTTAAAAATCTCAAATTTTATTTAACTTAACTAGACTACAGATTCTTGTACATTTTTAAATTTTTACGAATTAAAAAATTTAAAACAGTTTAATATAGTTTACATACTGTGTATAATATGCATTACACGTGTTTTTGGAACTTTCAGTTTCTCGTAAATCTACAAAAATCTGCAGTCTACTTGTAACCTGTTGACATATGTTCGCGAATGGTGAGCAATAAAAATTCATTTGTCCACCAGCTCATAAATGTCATTTAATATTGCGTCGTTGCTCCTTCCAGAGACATTAAACTATGACTCTAGATTATCAATGCGACGCAAGCAAGTGGATAGATATGAATATATGCAAATATATATTTATTACTAATAAGAAATAAATTTATATATTATTATATATTGTAATTTATGTTTATTATAAATAATAGAACTAAATTATTGAAAATTATGTTCTCAAAAAAAATATTAATAGAATATCGTAATAAAAAGCAATTTATTTTAAATTAGTTCCAACGTATTAATATGAGATTTGATAATTATATATTGATATTTAATTAATTAAATTTAATATCAAATGCTACTAATATAATATTAACTCTAATATTTAATACTAAATATAAAGTTAATTTATTAAGATAAGATTAATATAAGTCTTATTATAATATATAAATGTGTATAAAATACAATTTAATTTTTTGTTTTATTACAAAAATTACCAGAAAAAATATTTATCATATCAAAGAAAATTCTGTCTTATTTTATTAGATTAATTATAATAATGATAGTATTATCTTTTTACCATACCTTTAAATCTGCAATGGTTTCATTTTCATGTGATTCGATCACAGCTGTACTTTCTCCTCTGATTTGCAACTGCATGTTTGATCTGTATACAAAAATATAATTCAATGTTTATAATTTTGTTATAAAATATTTATTTCATATGGAACTCTATTATTATAATATGAATAACTATAAATATATGTGTATACCTGGATATACATTGTATTAATTCACCATACCTAAATATATTGGGATAATATCCAGTATATTATCCCAATATACCTGGGTATACATTGTACAGTAACCCGGTATGCCTGGATATTATCCCAATATACCTGGGTATACATTGTACTGTAACCCGGTATGCCTGGATATGCAAAAGTATACTGGGTAATTACTTGTATATATATATACACACACACATACACGCAGCGTACGTATACCAACACTAAATCTATTTTTATAATTAAAAAAAATATAAAATTTATTTAAGGAAATAGAAGTATTTATACGCACATATACACATAAATAAACTATAAAAATATAAACATAAAATATAAATTTGCAAACCAACCAGATTAAACAAAAAATGCACAATTAAAGTTAACACGTGTCACAAAGGCAATATTATTTAATTCTAAACTAATTATTTTTGTTGTTCAGAGACTAAATAATATCTAAATAATACTGTACTTTAATAAATATTTCAATACACACCGTACTTCAATAATTCAACTGAATAATGCTTGTCGCAGCAAAAATATGGACAAAGAACTTGCACCTTCTCACAGCGACTCACGGCGTAATAATGGTGGAAAAGACTCCTGTGCGAAGTTGTCTCAAGCTAAAACAGAATATCGATACTTCAGTAATAGAACTATAGATGAATCGAGTTTCAAAATCGCAAATGGCGATCTATCGATTCTAATGAGAATCATATTTTACTAATGTTTCGTTAAATTTTACATTTATATAATCTTTAAACAGAGTATTATCTAATAGCACATATTGCAAAACGTTAATGAAAAATTATTAATATTGAAAAATAACAAAAATTAATTAAAATATAACATGTAATATATTTTATATATATGTAGACTTGCATATATAAAGAGATTATTAATGTTTTTTTCAATACAAATAAAGTTATATTTAAGGATATAGAAATTGATCTGATATTTCTTAAAATATTGAGTTTTTGCATGGAGGTAGTTAACCAATCAAATTTCAATATATACATGTACATGTATGTATATATATATATATTTATGTATATATGTATATACAATATCGTGCAACTCAAGTATTATCGAGTATGAAAATTTTCAACTGTTGTTACTGTAGCCTAACCTTAAATTAGTCAAATTTGATCAAGAATCAAATAATAAATACTAAGAACATATTTTATGTTAAATTAACTTATTTTTGTTAATTTCGTCTCGTTCAGGTAGTGAAAGTTGTAGATTCCATGGCATTTCCATTGAACGATCAGATTTACACAAAATCTTTTACACCTAGAGAGTATCAAGTGAGAGAGAATTTTTTTCAAGTATTTAGAAGATTCTGTAAGACATACATTTACATATGATGCTTAAAATAAGTGTATTTGCAGGTTGAATTATTCTATGCTTCTAGAAACAAAGACATTATTGTCTGTTTAGGCAAAAGTTACGAACAAACTTTCATTGTTATAAAACTGATTCAAGAATTTGCTACAAATAACAGGCGGTAAGCCAGATTGATTGTAATTAATTTTTGCTCTCTTGCATTATCCCATTGAATGTTCATTATGATTTTATTTATTTAGACCATTAAGTAAAGGAGGGAAACGATCATTGTTTATACTAACAGATGAAGAAAAATGTACAATCAAAGCGAGTTACATACAACAACTGACAGATTTGAAAGTATTATTATGTGATGATTGTTTACTCACAGAATTTACAGAAAAATTCGAAACTTCTCATGTGAGGAACATCAATATCTTATAAAAAATACTTACATACGAAATTACTTACATATTATGGAAACACTTCTGTTAATTTTCTTTGTATCATCTCTTTTATTAGGTATTAATTACAACTTCTAAGATATGTGCACAATTACTGATAGATAAAAAAATTTTACCACATCAAATAAATCTAGTCATAGTTGACGAGTGCCATAAATTTATAGACAATAATGAGCTAAAAATTATTTTGCAAACTTTCTTGGCATGTAATAATGTTCCTAGAATCATTGGATTAGCTGTACCATTGTTTAATTTAACCCAGGAGCCTGGAAGATTAGGATTGGAAATAGAAAAAATAGAAGATATATTTCAATGTGAAGTTGAAACAGCTAGTGATATATTATCTATATTACGGTATGTATATTTTAATATACAAGATAAATCCTACAATTAGAGAAAAAAGGCAAAAAAGATTGGACGATATAAAATGATTTATCTTTCCATGGTTTTCCTTGTTTCATTAATATAATAACATAATTAAAACAAATTTTTTTCATAATGAAGAGATTTTCAAAAATGGTGAATTTATGAAAATATTAAAATATAACATTATAATTTATAAGATATTTAAAATTTTATTATTTTTTTTCATCAGTTTTAACAGTTTTATTAAAAAGAACTTTTAAATACATATTAAAAGTATATATACATAATAAAAGTATAATATAATATAATCTTTAAAAAAGATTTTAAATTATTCAATTTTCTTCTTTACAATTTTTTTTTATTTGTAATCAAACAAAAGATACAAGTTATTCCTATTGTATGATTCTAATACATAATATTCTTACTTATTAATGATGGTTTTTAAATAGGTACAGCCCTAAACCTAAAGAATATATAGTAGAATATGCCACAAGTGAGGAAGGAGAATTACACATTACTATTAAAAATTATATATTACATGCTATGGAGTTTTTACGTGATCATCGTCATGATCCAACTGAAATTTATAATGAGGAATTCTATGAAGATATTCAAAAAATACCAGACCCTATAGACAAACCTTTTGAGATGATGCAAGATTTTTTATATATATTGGAAACTCTTGGACCATGGTGTGCAGATCGTGCTGCATTAGCTCTTTTAATTTTGACGGAAAAATTAAAGATAAAAACACCTTATGAAAGACATTACTTGTTATTAAATATGGTGGCATCTGTTTTCACAAAAATACGAGCTTTATGTGATAATGCATTTGAAGTTTTATCTGAGAAAGAAAGAATATATAAATATGCTACGCCAAAGGTTCATCGATTATTGCAAATTTTGAAAACATATACACCATATTATACTAAGGATATCAATAACACCGATAATAAACTAAATAATGAAAATATTTCTCAAAAATCAGTAAATAACAGAGAAAATTCTACTAAAGATAAATTTGTTCAATTTAAAAAATTAGATTGGAAAAGTAACGAAGAAAATTGTAGAAAACCACCTAGAGCACAACGACACATGCGTAGTATTACTGATCCTGATTTACTCTGTGGAGTAATTTTTGTAGATAAAGCATTTGTAGCAAAAGTATTGTTTTATTTATTAAATGAAATATCTATGCACGATGAAGACTTACATTTTTTGTCACCTCTTTATACGATTGAAAGAAATGTAGATGACGTCAGTTATTCAAAAGATTTAGAAATAGAGCATAGAAAACAAGAAGAAGTTCTGAAAAGATTTAGAATACATGAATGTAATTTATTAATTTCGACTTCAATATTAGAAGAAGGTTTGTCATTAATTAATTTTTAGTTATTACTAAATAATTTGCTTTAGTCAATATTTTATTAATACTATTTACTAATATTGTATATTGTTTTACATTTTTTAGGTATAGACATCCCAAAATGCAATTTTGTAATGAGATATGATTTTCCGAAAACTTATCAGTCTTATGTACAATGTAAAAGTCGTGCAAGAGCTGCAGATGCATTATATGTATTACTGGTACCACAAGATATGTCAAAGGAGTATGTATGGCAACTAGCCCAATATCATTACATAGAAAAGGTATCAAATTATGCTATATTATCTTTCTTAATCACTTTAATTATTCGTTATGGTAAAATTAATTGGAATATATAAACTGGATCTGATGTTCGATTAATGACTATATTGTCTGCTCGATTTAATTTAGTCATAAACTTCAGTGTGTACCAGTTTTAATATCAGCAATTTAATGTGGTTCATTACCTGTGTCCATCCCAGTCGAAAATTTTATTGGAAGAGCATCAATCTATTTTGTAGACTTTGTTAATAAAATGTTCTAATAACGAACCGTCTGAAGAAGAAGAAAACGAAGCAGATATGTATGCTGCTATGATACCACATTATAAACCGCTTGATGGAGATGATGCACCTAAAGTTACTTTTAATTCTGCTATATCGTTAGTAAACAGGTAGTATAAAATGATGAATAAAAGACAATAAAAGACATTTTAAATATTTTATAATTTAAGAAATTATTTTATATTATTATACAATTTTGCTTATCTAGATATTGTGCAAAATTACCTAGTGATACTTTTACAAGATTAACTCCAGAATGGTCTATTCAAGAAATGAATAGTGATAGTACACTTATGTACATATGTTCTTTACGACTTCCTATAAATTCTCCAGTAAAATATGTAGTATCTGTAAATATTTTTATTCTTTTAATCAAAATTTAGTATTAAATTCTTTTTAATATAGATTATTGTATGTTAAATATTATTATTATTATTATTTTAGTCATATCCTATGCCTAACAGAGCCATGGCAAGACGAATGGCTGCTTTACAATTGTGTATTGATTTACATAGAAAAAATGAGATAGATGATAATTTGTTACCTATTGGGAAGGAAAACTTTAAAGCTAAACCAGAAGATGCAGAAGTACCTGCTCTACCAGATGAGAGTCAAGTGGATTTTTCTGAAGCTCGGCCAGGAACAACTAAACGAAGACAATACTATTATAAAAAGGTTTTATTCATATAAAATAAATATTATAATAATATACATATTTTATTTTATTTTAATATTAAATTATATTTTTCAGACAGCTGAAGCATTGACAGATTGTAGGCCAATAATTGGAGTTCCTTCTTATTTATATCATATTAATCTAGTTTTGAGTTGTCCCTTACCTGAAGAACAAAATACAAGAGGTCGACGTATATATCCTCCTGAGGAGTCAGCACTTGGTTTTGGTATAATAACATTAAAAGAAATTCCCAAGGTAGTAATAGCATATACATTTTTTACAACATTATAATATTAATCATGCATATAGGATAATTGATATTTACCTTTTTATTTTAGTTATGTCCATTTCCTATTTATACTAGGTCTGGAGAAGTTCATGTAAAATTAAAACTTAGTAAACAGACTATAGTTTTAAATGAAACGCAAATAGAAAAAATTGCTACTTTTCTTAATTACACTTTTACAAATGTATTAAGATTGCAACAATATTTAATGCTCTTTGATCCTAATGCTTCAGAGAATTCATACATGATAGTACCTGTAAAATTAGGTAATTATAAATATTCTTAGAAACTTCAATGTTAATATTTATTTCGTGTATTTGGTATTATACGCATATAAATTTATTCTTAATAGATGGAGAATCTGATGTCACTGTAGATTGGAACTTCTTAGAATGTATATATGCAAATCGAAATGCAGGGCCAACTAAAATCCCTGAAGAAGACAGAAAAGATTTCAAGTTTGATGCATCCAAATATCATGATGCAGTAATCATGCCTTGGTATAGAAGTCAGGACCAACCTCAGGTATTTTGATGAGAATTTGATTTGTGAATGAAAAAAATGTCACAACTGAAATATATTAAAATATATTACATTTTGTTTGTTTCAGTACTTTTATGTTGCTGAAATTTGTACAAATTTAAATCCCAAATCTTCTTTTCCCGGTGATGATTATAGCACTTTCGAAGAATATTATCTTAAAAAGTATGGTATACAGATACAAAACTTAGATCAGCCTTTACTAGACGTGGATCACACATCAGCTAGATTAAACTTTTTAACACCAAGGTAAATATGATATTATGTATAATTATGTTTGTATTGCCACATTTATATGCAGGATGCATCAGCATCGGTAGTACAATGGAGGGAATGATTCTACGTGAAAAAATACTACTGGAGCATACTAATGTATTTACATTAAAAATTTTATCTTAGGTATGTCAATCGAAAAGGTGTTGCTTTACCAACAAGTAGTGAAGAAACAAAACGGGCAAAACGGGAAAATTTGGAGCAAAAGCAAATTCTTGTTGCTGAATTATGCGCAATTCATCCTTTTCCAGCTTCACTTTGGAGACAAGCAGTTTGTTTACCTTGTATTTTATATAGAATCAACGCTTTATTACTTGCTAATCAAATACGATGCCAAGTTGCACAAATGATAAATTTAGGACAGCAGAATTTAAATTATGGTACGTATAAAACAAGAATTATTTTCAGATCTATGCTTCTGGATTTTAATATGAAAATATTTTAGACTTTGAATGGCCAGCATTAGATTTTGGATGGAGTTTAGCAGAGGTTTTAAAGAAGTCTAAAGAATCTGAGAAAGCAAAATTAGGCAAGAATGAAACCATTCAACAAAATTCTGCAAATGACAATAATTGTCAGAATATACCCAAAAGTATAATGGATAATTTACATAAATCGGATAAGGAAGACTTAAATGAAAATGATTACAATGAATTTCAATCAAAAAGTGATAAAATAATCGAAGCGGAAGAAATATCGAACGATGAAAATGAATTAGAAATCGGTACTTGGTCAAGTGACATGGCAATGAATTCCATGGATTTTGAAACAAATAATTTGAAGTCATTTCCCTTGAATGTAACCGTTTTGCCAAGTGATATTAACTGGAGTGATATTCGATATGGATCTCCCGCATGCGAGTCAGATTTTGATGGTTACGAATCGGATGATATTTACAGCGATGGATTTGTCGATAGTTCTGATGAAAGTGAGGATGAAAACAGAGGGTTACGAATTTCTTATATGGGCGAGAATGTTGCAGAAGCCGTAGAAGACGAGAAACAAATATCTAAGCAAGAAATCAATAAAAAAATCTTGGATTTGTTAGAAACTGAAAAAACTTTGGACAATGCTTTATGGTCGTATGCGGAAAAAGAAGAGAATTCTTTAATCGCAAAGCACAGAGAAGCTCACTACGAATTTGCCAAAGTAAGGGAATATGAGATAGTGCAAAGTGGATCTTTCATACCCTGTGATAACGAAATTGTAATTAAAAGAAAAGCTTCGTGTAGCTTACAATTTGAAGAGAATTTGCCAAATTACGAGCACAAAGCGCACGTTGAAACTATAGTCGAGAAATTCACTAAAGAAATATTAAATAATAATAACAGCGTACAGCCAATCAAAAAGGATTCTAATACATCGAAATTTACATATCACGCGGATAGTAATCTTTTTAGTTTTGACTTTCAACCAGAATTGGAAAATCATTCGGGCCCAAGTCCCAGCTTAATTCTACAAGCTTTGACCATGTCCAACGCAAACGATGGTATTAATTTAGAACGTTTAGAAACTATTGGTGATTCTTTTTTAAAATATGCAATAACTACATATTTATATTGTACATATGATAACATACACGAGGGCAAGCTTAGTCATTTAAGATCCAAACAGGTATACAAAATTCAAACTATTAATTAGCTTTATTGACTGTGATAATCTATTTTAATGTAATGAAATTTTTTCTTTTCTTTTTTTTTTTTTTAGGTCAGTAATTTAAATTTATACAGACTAGGAAGACAAAAAATGTTAGGTGAAAGTATGATAGCAACAAAATTCGAACCGCATGATAATTGGTTACCCCCTTGTTATTATGTACCAAAAGAACTTGAACAAGCATTAATTGAATCTGGTGTACCTTCTACATTATGGAATCAAGCTGATATTCCAGCTTTACAAGCTGTAAATCCTTCTGAGATAACTCAATTGGTTAGAGAAACGGAACAAAAATTGGGTGTCATGAAAAACGAACTTGATCGGAATGAGGCATCACTTTCAAATAATTTAGATAACATACGTTGCTTTATACCGTACAATTTAATTACGCAACATAGCATTCCTGATAAGAGTATTGCGGATTGTGTGGAAGCATTAATTGGAGCTTATTTAATTGCTTGTGGCTATAGAGGCGCATTACTTTTTATGGCTTGGTTAGGCATTCACGTGTTACCTACGGAAGAAATTACTATTGTACAAGAATTAGAGCCTCAAGAAAGAATTCCAGGCAGCACTCCTTATATAAAAGGAAGGAACGAAAAAGGTCAAACAACATGGACACAGGTACTTATTGATTTACAATTATAAATGAAATGAATGAATCTTAAGTTACGCTGATTATTGCAGATTCATTACGGAAAATTAGAAGAGCCGCAAAATCCCTTACTTCGATATATTTCTGATCCAGAACAAGAATTGAAAATGATGCTCGATGGTTATGAGGAGTTAGAAAGAAGTATAGGATATAAATTTCATGACATTAGTTATTTACTACAAGCATTCACTCATGCATCATATCAACCTAATAGATTGACAGATTGTTACCAACGTTTAGAATTTCTTGGAGATGCTGTTTTAGGTAGTAAAAATAAATTGAACGAATTTTGTTGTCCTATAACTTTTAATAGTGGAAAATTTAATATAGGAATTTGCAATTTTAGATTATTTAATAACAAGACATTTGTACGAAGATGCTCGACAACATTCTCCAGGTGCTTTAACAGATTTACGATCTGCTTTAGTTAATAATACTATATTTGCTTCTTTAGCTGTAAGATGTGGATTTCATAAATATTTTCGACATCTTTCTCCTGGTCTAAGTATTGTTATAAATCGTTTTGTTAGGATTCAAGAAGAAAATGGACATTCCATTAGCGAAGAAGTAAGGAACTTCTGGCAGATTTATTCATATGTATACATTTGTATCTATATTTGATTATTATTATTTATTTTCTTTAGTATTATTTAATTGGAGAAGAAGAATGCGAAGAAGCTGAAGATGTAGAAGTACCAAAAGCGTTAGGTGACGTTTTTGAATCACTAGCTGGTGCAATTTACTTAGATAGCGGAATGTCCTTGGATGCTGTGTGGAGCGTCTATTATGCAATTATGAAGAATGAAATTGGTAAGTTTTTTAAATACGTTTTATTTAATTATAAATAAGTTTTTTTTATAAAAAGAAATAATTACATTATATTTTGTTATTTTAGAGCAATTCAGCACCAATGTTCCTAAATCTCCGATTCGTGAATTATTGGAGTTGGAACCTGAAACGGCAAAATTTGGAAAACCAGAAAAATTAGCTGATGGACGAAGAGTCAGAGTTACAGTGGATGTGTTTGGTAAGGGCTCTTTTAAAGGAATCGGAAGAAATTACAGAATTGCAAAATGTACTGCAGCAAAATGTGCTTTAAAGAAACTAAAAAGGATGCAGAATTATTCAAGAGATAAACTATGATAGCATATACAATATTAGATTAAAGTGAAAACATAGAATAATATAAATTTCTGTAATATTGTTATATTTCTATAACATTGTATCCATAAATACGTCTGAATTTGTAATATAAACAAATTTTATGTATTTTAGCCTAAAATAACACTTTAACAATAGGTTTACAAATTTCATATTATACATAACATATATAATGAAATTTATTATTGCATTTAATGAAAGAAAATTTTGAGAAAGAAGCATAAATATCTTATACTGTAAATATTTAAACAACAACCATATAAAAAGTACTTAAACTTTCTGAAATATGCTATATTGAAATATGTACTTTTGATATTCAAGTTACAAAAATCTTCTTATTTGATAAAGTAACTAAGTAATTTTTTTATGTAACTAGACACCTTTTGATTTCATCAGTTCATAAATTACGCAAATTTATTGTTTACAAATTTTTTTCAAAGTTCTAGTCAACATTTAACATTATTTCTTATATTATATAAAAATATAATTTCGTAATATTAAAAAAGTTTTGATAGAAAAAGTTTGTTATAGTAGACATATACAATAAACGTATATATAAAGATAATTAAAACTATATTAGGATAATTAATAGTTAAATTTAAAAAGCGACTGTTTATGATATTAATATCTTCTTTCTTAATTTGTTTATTATAATTTATGTATAAATATAAATATAAATTTTCATTTCCTTTTTTTGTTAATAATCATTATTTAATTAGATTTCAGTAGCAAACAAAATTAAAAAAGTGTATATGTTCCAAAATGGAAATTACAATTTTATACAATTTAAAATTGTCATACAAAATATATAAATTAATAAATTTATGTATGTAAATGGTTGAGTTACATATCACTCATATTATATATTACATATATCATCTTTCATGTTAATTAGTTATTTGGATATGTAATAATATAATTATTATGTAACCAGTATTACATTTTTTTGTAAGGATAAATATTTGTCATGTAAATTATAAGAATTTTTTTTGTAATAAATGTTTTTAATTATATAAAATAAAAAGAACAAATTTTAAATAGTATCATAAAATTGAATTTTTTAAATATAAATGTAATATTATAACATTATAACATTACATTCGAAATAACATTAGAAATGTTTGTGAAATGTAGTTTATATACAATTTAAATGTTAAATATTTCAATTAAAAATTTCATGTTTATATTTATTCAACATTAAAATGTTAAGAGCCAAATTGACTATAAAAAAGAGCTATAGCAGGATCTTCACATTTGCATGTAATTAATACATCTCGAAACTTATCTAGGATCTGCAATAATTGCGATCTACGGATATTTTCTAAATACATAATCTCCTCTAAATGATGGCCTCCATTAAAGTAACCAAGGCGGCATAGTCTGTCAAGTAATTTTCTATCATCAGAAGGAATGTCATAATCTTCTGATTGATAATTGTATATTCCATTTTCTTTGTGAAGTGTCATTGATAATTCTTCATTTAGATCAGCAGAAGTACTTTTTGTAACATCATTTAAATTACATGCACTATTATTTTCTGTGATTTCATTTATATTATGATTCAATTCATCTTTTGCATCCTTAAAAAAATAATAAGAAATAATAAGAAAAAAAGAAGGTTCTTACAATTTAAGAGAGGAATTTCTTTGAACTTACCAAGGATACTCGTCCATGCACAGTTGGCATATATTGTACATACGTGTGTAATTGTAAAAGTAAATGATTTTTTAGTAGCCAAATTATTATTTTTACTAATTGCGTTTGTTGTTGCGATTGACTCAAAGGATTTAATTGTTGACTTATAGAAGTTGGTAGTGAAAAATCATTAAGAACCTATACCAATAGAAATTTAATTTTATATGTAATTCAAATGATGTAAAATAATGTACAAAATTTTTTTCACATACTTGTAAGAGACAAAGCCCAGGAAATTCTTCAGAAAATACCTCTAACAATTGACTTGTGATAATAGCATCTGGTGATACAACATAAACATTGCTCTCACAAAGAGGATAAATTATAGTAGCTTTAGCCCAATATATTAAATGACCAGTTAATTGGAAAACTTGAGTTAATGTTAAATCAGAGTCAGCAGCTAGAGTTTGTAGACTTTTTAGAGGACTATACATTTGAATTAGACGTTTAAGAGCAGGAGAAGAATCTATCGGAAGTGAATCCAGTAAATCTAAAGGTTCAATGAGTAACAGTATACCGTGATAAGGCCTTAAACTGTTCAAACATCTGCAATGAAGTTTAACAATTTAATATTCACTTTGATTTGTAAGCATCGAATATATTATACTAACTTATCTATTATTTCTGGATTAATAACAAATCCTTTTTTGTGAGATTGATGAACCTTTTGTGGAAGACAGAAACGTACTTGAATCCATTTATTGATCATAATATTAATTATTCCAGAAGTTGTCAGACTGCTAAACACAGATTTCAAGTCGCGGGAAAGTGAACTCCTTTGCAATATCAATTCATATGGTGATTCATCGCAATCACTTTCACCTTCTGATCTATAAATACATAAGTTTTAATTGTTACTTTTTTCAATCATACGCGTAACTCTATGTACCTAGTAGCAACTTCGTCGTGCGTGGATACCATAATTTTTATCTCTTCCGTTAAAAATCCGCATCTCTTTTCTTCGTGCCTCAGAGCTATGCCCAACCTAAGACGAATAACGCTTGAAACTTTGTCTTTTCACATTGTCATGCGTTTGTAACACAACGTGACAAACCTTCTGCTTAAGTCATAGTAACACTTTACTATAGAGTGACTGGCTTGAGCTTGCAAGGCAAAGACTATATTGAAAAGCATTGAATTGACCTCCTTCATTCCGTGAGACGGAACCAGGGTCGGATGCCCAACGAAACGGACATCGTTTACTTTCAACTCAAATTTCTGCTCGCATAGTTCTGGCTTAACAGCAAATAACGTCGACAACACTTCGTCAGTTACTCCGGTTAAATTTCCATTGTTTATGTTGGAAATTGGAAAGGTCGAGGACTTGAAATGAAATGTGTCGAACGTTAATAAATTGTTTTATTAGCGCGACAATATTGTGCAATGTCGAATTGATAACGTGTTGTCGCAAAACAAAGCATGAAACTGACCTGCAACAAATCCTCCGTGATAGTCAGCGAATAAGGATTTTTTCTTCTAGTGCATTGATTCGAATCTCGTGTATGTTTCGCTACGTGCGGATATCGGAACAAAAGTCTGTCACCTTTGCTATCACTTTTCACAAGAATTATGCTTAACGGATTTATCTCCATGATCGCGATTAATTACAGACTCTGTAACTGAGGTACAGAGGTTATGCGAAATTCTCTCATTAATAAATCATTGGTCGTGAAATCTTGTTGATCAAAAGCGAGCGTAACGAATACATTCGGTCATGAAGATTCGAAGTTACTTCAAATTCGATGCGCATAAATATCATTTTCAGGAGTAACAATTTTTTGACATATTGCCCACAACGTTCTACCGGAACCACGCGGTTTCGATATCGCGTCGTTCTGAAATTATCAACAGATGTGCGCGTATTTTTTGAAAGGTTGATTTTCACGCTAAAAATTCGTACACAATATATCGTTACAGTTGATTATTTAATTGCACATTTGAGTAACTGAATCATTCCTTGGTGTTCAGTGTTCTGATTACGGTAGTAATTATCCATCATTCTTTTGAATACCAATATAAATGAATATAATAAATTTTTCGCCTCTAATTAGTGTTTAGAATAGTTTAAATGAAATTTATATTTTTATTTAAAGGACGATGACCCGGTCGTCCCATACTAATTATTGTAACTAGTAAAATACAGAGTTAAGATATAAAAAAATTCGAGAACGACTCTTGGTCGCTGATTGTCTGATTACACACGCACTTACACTAATAGTATTCGTTTGAAAAATTTTTCGCTTCGATAAATTTCATTTATCCAACTTAGGTTCTTATTTATACATTGTTGCATTTACATTCCATAGTTTAGAATAAAAAATAAAAGTTACAAAACTATATATATATATATATATATATATATATATATTCTATATACATATATAGAATGTAATTACAACTTTCAAGCGCTGTAAAATTTTAATGTATAGCACATAATACTCTGTTATCGCATATGGTACTTCGAAATTTCACAATTTTGTTATTTATTACAGTATACTTTGAATCGTTTGAATCTCGCGATTATCCAACAGTTGTTTCGTCAATACACAATAAAATACATTAAATTATAAATTTTTTTTACAAAATGATACGACAATTTTCTAATGATAATTTGACCGCAAATTAATGAAATTAACATTATTAGTTCTTTTTGAGTTGTTCGCGTTACGCGTAAAATATTATTACGCGAATACAAATGAAATAATATTATTGTTATTGTTGCAGGCGGAAAAAGCAGACCGGCGGAGAAGTTTTCTCCGCCGCTCAATACGACAACGCGTGCGCTTTTCTTCGAGGGTAGTCAGTAGTCGTTCTAATGGTACTTTCATACGAGGGTGTCGCTCAAGGGTGAGAATGTACTTTTCGGTGTTATTGTTGTTTGTTTCGTGCTTGAGAATAAATAAGGCAACGGGTATCGTTGTATCCATTCTTTACGTTAAATAAAAGATAACATGAATATCGGGATATTGAAAATTGTAGGTGTTAATTAATCAGAAACGAGATGTGACAATTGTAATTTTATAAATGTCAAATATACGCATTTACTTGATAAAGTAACTTACTTCGTTAACTTCGTTAACTGTTACTCTTTTCGACAAACTACAAAATACAATTTATCGAGCGAACGATAAATGGCACGAGCAATTTTTTTATTTTGTTTCAACGACACGGAATTAGTTAGTCATAGAATTAATTGTAATTATTCTAGATGGTTGCTACGATTATTCTACGAGATTAATTCACTACCTATATTTCTATGTTAACGACAGATGAGAAACTTTGACTTGACGATGAATAATACGGGTTGTGCAACTTGTACACTCGAACCACCGCCTGATATTCTTCATATACCGCCGCCGCCGTTTCCAGCAATTCTCCAGCAAAGCTCCGATTTTTATCCGCACACGGACTTGTTGTCGTTCCCACCTCACCTAAATGACAGCCCTTGCAAACATTTCTGCGACCGCCGCTCCGAAGGGGTCCAATACATTGAAATGCCGCAACAAGGTCTACAACTGCATTTTAAATTCAATCATTTGATTTATTCATTCATTTTCCCGTATCTTTAGCTCTAAGTTTTATTACGTTACACTTTTGTAACAAAAAAAAAAAAAAAAAATTCAAAAAGATATTAATACGTATGTTAAATTTTTAGGGACAGTATTTGACGACACGTGGTTGCTGGTCCTACTATCCTCCTGCGCCGGTGTAATTTTCATAGGCATTGTACTAGCGATATTACTCTTGAAATGCAAGTTGTAAGTCTGCTCTTTTTACTTTTTTCTCTTTTTATAAAAATAAGGGCTGAGAACCAAAAATCAAAATATAAGTTACATACGCGTAGAAACAATCGTGATTTTCTACTTTGTGAGATAGTATATCGAGTAAATAAATTTCATCGAGTAGATAAATTATCGAGTAGATAAAGCAGAAACAATAGCAATGTAAAAAGAAAGATAAATTTTTATTCTGCAGCAACAGAAGTGGTAAGAGCGGCGTGATTTCCATACCAAATGCGACATCTAGTATACAAGCGAAGAACGGGAGGATTCAAAACGAGGCTGTTCTCTATCCCTGTGCAGCTGACACTATGCAGGACAGCCGCGTGATGTGGGCCACACTTACACCACGAGGTACCACCAGACACTATCTGGAGGAGCATACTTACGAAACAATTGGCGGTGGACAATTCCACAAGCGTGCCTGTTCAACTACGCCAACTGAACATGTAAAACTTAAGGCAATTTAATATTTAATATTTGTATACGTAGTCATTAAACATTTGCTCGAAGTTTCGACAATTGTTAACAACGAAGAGTAATTGTAACTCCTTAACCTCTTGCGCTGGAATGACGTGCCACGCACGTTGAGAATTTTTTGTCCCAAAATTGCAATATTCTGTCAATTTTTAAGTATATTTAAGTATAGACAAAACAAATAATAAATTTATTACTTCTCAATAATTTCTATTTAGTGATATCATACTGACGAGTTCAAAATGAAAGCGACGAATTATTATATACGGTTCGGTCACTCGTTATGGTCCGCAATCAGTTGCCAGCGCAACTGATTAAGCAATGACGAAACGAAAACAAATTGTACATTGAATAACGATGTATGCACTTTAAAAGAATTGTATATTCCTCGAATGAGATGAAGAAACATTTAAAATATCTGAAGACAGATTATTGATTTTTCAGACTTACGCAGATCCGCCGGTCACCACTCCGATTCAGAATCGCTTGAAGGACGACAAAGCCTTTGATAACACTGCGTTTGTAGATTACGAAGAACCGTCGTTAATAAAAACTGATTATTACCAGCTCAATGATGTTCTGGAGTCAAACGATCCAGGCAATATTTTATTACCGCTCGACATTTTCATTCACGAATGCAGTTAGTTGACGTAACTAATTTAATATAATTTCGATTGTAGGTATACCAAGAGGAACATCACGTCCACGTGTCAGTTCGCCGACACGAATCGAACATCCAAATTTACCACCCCTTAATCTCCACCCTCACAAACGTTCTTCTCGCAAAGGATCTGCTACACCACAAGCTTCGGATACATTATTAAGAAGTAGCATCACATCGTCTACATATATCCCTACTATATAAATTTCACGTCCAATCTTTGTTATATTTAAAGGCTTATAAGCAGCGTACAGAACACAAGTACATTTTGTATACGTTATCTTTACATCTAGTCACTATAAACAAGAAAAAAAAAAAAGAATAACTGCCAGTCAAATAAAACGACCTAGTTGTTAGCTAATACATGTAAATTATATATACTTCCTTCTTTAATTAATTTAAAATTCTAGTAATGTGATCAAGTTAGCATATTTAGATATATAACATTATGAATATGTTAAATTTGTATCGTGTATGAACTTACATATGTCAAATAAAATTTAGAGATATATGTATAAATTAATCCTACTTCATCTATATTTTATCTTTCGTCAAAAACATCTTGTCATTCGGCAATATTTGTAAAATTGTTAAATAAATAATCGATATCGATAAAAAATGAAAAACCTTGAAAATTAGGAGTATAAAATTCTTATATTGAAGTATACATTCTAAATGTTATCAATTATTGCGTAATATAACAAAAGCACAGAATTAAAAATAAAATTGAAAATCAGATTCTCCTCCATTAGGTGATAGGTTGGAATAATAACAATAATAATATATACTCCTATCATTTTACATATTATTGTTTTCATAATAATAATGTATATATTCTGATAAATTTTTCGGTGGAAATAATAATGCTAGAATTATACTTCATGATCTTACATAAAATAATATATAATATGATACGTAGTAAAATTAGAAAGTATAAAGTAATTATAATAACAAATCCTAATAAAATAATATAATAAAGTATACTAGTATACTATATAATAATATAATACTAATAAAATAGTATAGTAACATAAATTCTAATAAAATAGTAATAAAATAGTAATAAATCCTAATTCTTAGATGATTGGACCACTGGCTTGTTCATTCAATCTATTTTTGGAAATTATCATTACGTATTGTAGAACAAAATGTATAAAATGGTTGTAGTAAATTAATAAATACTTTAAGTACTTTATCTAAAAATAAAATAAAATTTGCTAGTGCAGGTGGTTTGGTTTAATAAATAAAAATAGAAAAGAAATTTATTAATAACAAGAGAATTTAAACTTGTGCTACAATAATTTAAGAAACTCCCGCTCTGTCAACTTCGCTACTACAGTTATTGCAATATAGTTAAGTAATTTAGTATTTCAACAATCAAAAATACTAAATATTAAATATTTTTATAAATAATAAGTATTGAAAAAAATGGTTTATTTTTGGTCCGGATTTATCGGAAAAGAAATTTTATCAAAACTGATGACTCAATTGTCGCACGCTATTGCTCTCTTTGTTTATCGCGCGAATATCTCTGTTCTTGTCACACACTATCGCTTTCTTTGTTTACCACGCGAATATCTCTGTTCTTGTCACACACTATCGCTCTCCTTGTTAGCCGCGTGAATATCTCTGTCCTTGTCGCACGCTACAGCCCTCCTTGTCTAATGAAGCTAGACAAGGAAAGCAACAGCTTGCGACAAGGACATGCTTCGATCTATTGAAAAAAAATTCAACTTTCTACACACACGTTTTTCTAGGACAAAACACACATAGAAAGAAAGCGGGGAGCCTAATTTTAAAGAGGCATGTAAAAAAGTTTGGAAATTATTCCTCCTAATTAGGTTTTTTTCGTAATTAGTGGGAGCTGTCACAATATGGACATGGTGGCGCCATCTAGCGGTAACTCAGTGGTACTAATTATTTATAAAAATACTTATTTCTGCATTTTACCGGTCAAATGGGGTATGGAAAGAAAGCTAAGGGTCTAATACAATCACAAAAGTTCACAATTCATTTCGCTAAATTAGGTTTTTTCGCTTATGAAGATTTCTCTGTTTTACCGGGTAAGAAACACTAGCGTCGCGTTGTGGCAAACAGATGAAACTAAATGTTCTATAACCATATAAGTAGAATAATTAATTATAATTTTTTCACGTCACAAATTTGCACTCCACGTATGCGGAAAAACAATCACCTGTCAATGTTTAGTGTAGCGACCTATAGTTCCTCGAGTACGAGTTTCGAACACCAACTTGTACAAGCCGCAAGTGACTGTGCGCCTAGCGTCGAAGTCAATCGATATTCGATGTTAAGCAGTTGCGGAACCGCTAGGATGGGTGACCATCCAGCCTTAGCGAGTAGTTAGAACAACCAAGCGTCTGGGGTAAGGAGTCGCTGCCATCAACCCCACTGAGATAATATGAGTCTAGGCAGCGACTTCTGAGACGAAACGCGCACAACCTTTCCTCACCTTACCTACACCACCCCCCCTCCCTCCCCCGCCAACATCATCACTTCCTACATTATCCTCGCATCATTATCATCGACACTTTCAATCCCTTCATTAGTGTAGCGACCTCTATTTCGAAGAATTTAGATCAACGACATCTATGTTCGAGATGTGTATTTAATATAAACAATAGAATATTTAAAAATAGCTATTAATTTTATTATCACCATAGAAATGTTTACTGACAC